AAGTATCTTATTTTGAAAAAACCTCTTAAAATATTTTTTAAATTTTCAAAATAAATTAAAAATACAAATTTCAGAAATAATGAACAGATTGAGTTGACTCAATGGCTCAAATATGGAAATTTATTCAATTTCAAGTTAAATAATATGCATTGTCACATATTATTACTCCACTTTAAAATATAATTAAATTTTTAGTTAATGTTTAATTATCAAAAAATCTCTATCAAGGTTAAAATATATCTCAAATTTTTTTGTGCAACAATGATCAAATTTCAAAATTATTTATATTAAAGTTTATCTTTAACTAAATAAATTATTCTTATACTATAATAAGATTTCTATCAAAGATTTCTTATTTTATTTTAATTTAGAAGAAATTGTATACAAAAATATTGATCACCGTTTTACTCAAACATAATCATCTAACATAGTGAACACAAAGAAACATATAATCTTCAAATCAACAAAACGTCTTTACTCAAAAACATGTGTTACATAGAGCTGCTACTAGCTTTTTTCAATAGCTTATCTAATTTAATCAATCATACTTAAATTAGTTAGAATCAAGTAACAACCAATTCCAAGATATAACGTGGCTCACCACAAAATGTTACGTTCACGAGGAAATGCATGTGGTGAGAGTATACTGAATGTACCTGAGTAATACACAAACCCTGGGTATAAATATTTCAAGGAAAAATTCACAATTTTTCCTATTGAAGTCATATATATTATTAATCAAAAATCATTTTTTCCTATATCATGAATCTTACTGTATATTATTGCCAATCTTTCATTAAGATATCAATCAACCTGATTTGCAAATATAATTATGATTACTATCAATTCAAGATACAAGATTTGTAAAGAATGTTTTACTCAACAAGAATATCACATCATGAACCTTAAACATGTTCCAATCGGAAATCCGAGGTATTTACTTGATGGTATCCTATCTGAACGTAAAATGTTTACTTGGACCCTTTAAGTTTAGTTTTAGCTGATGGGACCCCTCCAAAGGTACACGTCACACATGTTCTAGTATGAACAGATGGTGCAAGTAGTGGAACTGTGACAGCGAGACTGTCTTGTTGTCTTCATTGAATCGCTCAAATCTCCATTGAGCGCAATCGGACCGGTACCCTTCTTCGTAAGAGACTTCCCCATTGCACCAAAATTTGTAAAATTACTTGACACTTGAATTCATTAGTCATTCACTAACTTCCCCGTGTATTTCCTCGACAAATTTCACACGTACGCTGTTGATCATCAAGTCTAATTTCCAATAGCTCAAAATCTCTGTGCACTTGTGACAATGTTGCTCACAAAGTCTAATTTCCGATAGCTCAAAACCTCCGTGCACTTGTGACAATGTCTGTCACATTCATTGTTCTGAGAATTGCGATTACACAGGTTCACTAAAGCTCGTATGTGATGCGAGCTTTAGTGTAAAGTAACATCTTTCAAAAGTTGATGACGGTGTGCCGTTCCATCATATAAAACTAAACTTGATGGGTACCATCAAGCAATTTGGGTTCCTATGGAGTACCATCAAGTAAATACCTCCCAAAAATCCTAAAAAGATCTTAGAAAATATGAGAAGTTTATAAGAAAAGGAGCAATTCCATGTCTCGTTGTAGGGAGAGCAGTGGTGCAGGATTGAAAGGGTGGGACGAATTTTCGTTTTTAGGGCATTCAAAAGCCCATGTGCTGCAAGTGAAAATGAAAAGAATAAGATTTCATGATACATTTCAAGAGGTATAGGGAAATTCAGACCATGAGCCAAAGGCACTTGGTGTCAAGCAGACTTGCTTCAAATTCACATTGATTTTAGTGTGGTTTGACTCATAGGTCGGGAAATTGGCAAAAGATTATACCTCGGCATAAAGGTTTAGAGCCTCTGCTTAGTGTTTAGTTATGTGAAGGATTTTACTGAGGGGTGTGATCCATGTTGCTGGATACCACTTACTCTTGGGATAGAAATGATCAATTTGGTTGTCAAAGAGAGTGTTGCAAATCAACATGATATCCAAAATGAAAGCTTTTGTCCACTTTTCATGTGAATGGAACACTACATGATGGACATGCTAGAATTTAATATGATTTGCCTAAGTGGTTACTATCTTAAACATACAATTTGACAGATTCGATACAGTTTAGATTGGGCATTGAAGTTTTATTTAAAATATTTGCCTAATAATAAATCTGTACGACACATTTCATAATCCGAAAGAGCACTTTCATCTCGATGATTGAAAAGTATTAGACAAGTGTAGGTACTTGATATATATTGATCTTTGTATATAAAAGTTATATAAGTGTATCATCACTATGATATGCAGGCACAAATCAAACTAACATTTAACACAATATGACGTCATTCCAAAACCTTATTTGAGGAAAGAGAGAAAGCTTAGAGTGCAGTGATCTTGCACAGGAAATGTCATGTCCACAAAGATTTCTCGTCCCACAGGAAAACGACATTCTTTTATCTCTAAATTGAAGTTCACGGAAAGTAACACACGAAGTATTGAGCACAAAAATACAACTGCGTTCAAAGGGTTGAAATCAAAAGTCTAACTGAACTGAGAAAATTCTACTCGGAATATCAGAATCTCCCCTAAAGCTTTTAAGAGCCAATGAGTGCACCTCAACGCTCAGACATGGGAGAAAAAGTCGATGAACACTTTGCCGCACGCTGTGAACTTGCCGTGAGGTCAAAATGTCATGATGACAGATCGTACATGAAATGTACTTGATCAGAACTTTGGCACAATACCGTGATCATGTGCACGAAGAAAACATCGGCTCATCATCCTTCACGCTTCGGCCGCAAATCGTGACGCTCAATCTAATCCCAAGTTCCCTTCTGACATTGGGGCTCTATGAACAAGCCTAGCCGTCTATGAACACCATCCTCGAACCTGGACTCTGAAGTCTGACGGCTGAAGTCGTCGCAAGGTTTCGCCCCAAGCTTTGTGCTGTTGACTGCAATGCAAGCTTTGGAACGACATCTCGTACAGAAGTCACAAGCTCTCTCTCTTCTCTCTCTGGGTCGACCTTCGCTAGTACAGAACGTCAAATATCGTGGTCCTTTTATGGAATACCGGCTCGCTACAGTGGAGTCCACTCGAGATCTTATCTTCAACTTTTTCTGCACCGGAAGCTGTGCAGTGCAGAGAACAACACTGTCCTGCACATAGCTTCACAGCCAGTTTGGCCGGTGAAGAGAGGAATCGACAACTGGCTCGATGTTTACTTACTGCGGGGTGAGTACGACACACATAATCGGGAACAGGTCCGAGAGGGATCGCATACGAAGAACGAAACGGGCGATGAATTGTGGTGAAATTGGGCGAAATCGGGTGAGATGTGGTGAAATGCTTAATTTAGAGGTGAGACCAGGGACGTTTTTGCAGGAGGAAGACCTCGGTGCTGCCTCGGGTGCTCGAGTCCAGTCAAACAGGCCCTGCGGCCGAGCAGTAGCAGTGGTGCTGGTTTCTTCGTAGGACTGGTCGAGCGAGTTTGCATCGTAGGATGCAATGCCAGCGGCGAGTGGGTGCGAGCGCCATGCTCCTCTCTCCTTGGGCTCTGCTAAAGATAAGAACCGGGTTTGACTGAGCGAAAGAGACGAGCATTGACGAAGTAAAGCCGCCCGCCCGTTCCTCAAGGCCCGTGGACTTTCCCGGTCCAGGGTATGTTCCAAAGTCTTCCATTTGGTAAAAGCCCCAAGCTCCCCCACCTTCCTTCCACCTCCCGACGTGGTAAACCCCGCCCCTCCCACCCGAGCCAACCAAGTCAGCAGTTTCGGCACGCAGAAGGGTTGCCGTTGTCGCGTCGCGTCAGATGTCACAGTTGGGAACCCGTCAAAGTTTGAGTCAACCGGGTTAATCGTCGGGCCAAATCTACCATCGAACGAACGGTGGAGATGGAAGGAAGGAGAGACAGAGAGAGTGAGAGAGGGAGGGAAACTCAGATCACATAAAGAACCGGGTCCTGGAACGCGGTTCACCGAGTAAGGAGGCGGCGCGTGGAGGACACCGGGCTCGGTAACCACATCCACTTCCGTGCAATGCGGAGGAGCGAGAGGGAGAGAGTAGAAGCAGATGCGGGGAAGGCGTACGTTTCCGAAAAATTCCCGGGGCCCAGAAGCATCTCTCGAAGATGCGCACCCGGGAACCCGGGATCGCTGAATCGAAGGGCTCGGATTCGCGCTCATCAGCGCGGCGATCTGGACTGCGTCCACTGTCCACCTGGCACCTTCCAGGCTCTTCGAGACCGCGGTCAACGTGACAGGGCATCCCGACGGGCATCTCAGGATCGGGTTGGGTTGGGTCGGGTTGGGTCGGTTCGGGCCACGACTGTTCGCAGATCGCCTGTCTGACGGACCGGGAGTCGCAGCGCCCGGTCCTCGGCTGCGTCGTCTTCGCGCATGTTTCCGACGGTCCCCAATGTCGTCACGCCCCGGGAGCTTTGACCGAGTTTGGACTCGACACTCAAGCGGAGAAGGGGGAGGGGGAGGAGTAGGCGGGGGTAGCAAAACTAAAAAAGTAAACCCTCGCCCCACGCACAGTCACCCGTGTCCGACGATTTTATGCCCGCAACGTTCTAGAAGACCCTCCTCAGCGGATCGATCGAGGTCCAGCTCGGGCCGAGCCGGATTCGGGATCAGTCGGACTTTGGGTCCTCCCGTGAGCCCCTGGATCGAGGGCCCGTCAATCAATCAATCAATCAATCAATCAATTAAACAACATAAAGCGCATTCCAGTTCATGCCGGACTATCGATAACCACCTCCGGCTAGTCCGCGCTCACAGCCCATCGGATTCGCGAATCCTTTTTTTCCCGGGCACAGTAAAAGTAGTGAGTGAATGTGAAAGGGAGGAAGGGTATTCACAAGCGGTAAAGGCGCAGTCACGCTGATTATGGGATCTGGGGTCCACGACGGAGAGCTCGCATATACAAGATCATGGGGCGCAGAGCTCTCACACCGAAGTGAGGATGAGTGAGAGTTGAGTGAGTGAGTGAGCGAGCGAGCGAGCCAAGGCAACGAAGAGACCGATTGTCCGGATTTGGAATCGGTCCTAGGACGGAATCAGAGACGGGGAGAATCGAAGAGGAGGCTCATCTGTACAAGAGGAGCAGGGGCACACAGTAGATGATAGTTGGCAGCCTAGTTAAGCCCCTCGCGTCGCCTTATCAGCCAGACCCAAGGAGAGGAGAGCTGGGCAAGCCTGGGACCCCTAGATCTCTCTCCCTCTCTCCCTCCCTCTCTCTCTCTCTCTTCTCTTCATCCTTTGTCTTCCCATCCTCGAGAGAAGCAGGAAGGATTCCGAGCTCAAATTCTCCCTCTCCCTGGACGGAGAGAGCTTGTTGAGATACTCCAGGGAACTAGCTGGACATTTTCGATCGATCGATCGGTCGATCGATCACAGACAGTCCTGGTCTAGCTAGTTGGTTGCTCGCTAGAAAATAAAATACAGTCGGGTTTTTATTTCTTCGGCCGACATCGAGGACTGTCGGCGTCTGGGAAAATCTAGATTGGTGGTGGAATTGGGGTGCGGAAATTTTACCGACCAAGAGTTTCAGCATCCTGTCGATTTTTGAAATCGGGCCTGACCCTGTACATTCTGGTCGCTGCGTGGATTCGCGGATCTATGGGGTTGAGTCCCTAGGGGCGTGGAGTTGAAATCGAGCAGTCGGGACAGAGAAAATCTATCAGAGGAAGTGTAGGACGGGCGGTTTGGTGTGGGCTCGATGGCGGCTTCGAACGCCGGGGCGTTTCAGGCCATTGAGGTGTGGGGGGAAGGCAGGCTTTCGCGATCGCTCACAGGCAGCAGGAGGAGTACGAGCTCTCGGCACTGGGGAGTAGGGCCGGATAATGTGTTCGCTCGTGGGTCCGAGTCCAGGCGAGGCGGCGACGAAGAGCCAGACGATGAGGAGGCGCTCAGATGGGCGGCGCTCGAGAAGCTGCCGACCTACGATCGCATGCGGACCACCATCCTCGAGCAGTTGAAAGGAAGCCAGAGGTTCCCCGAGCAGTTGGATCTGAGGGACATCGCCCCGGCTCATAGACACGATCTGCTGAACAGAGTGTTCAATATATCCAGCACCGAAGAGGATAACGAGAAATTTCTGAAAAAGTTTCGCGAGCGTATCGATCGGTAAGTTTCATACACTCCTCCTCCCTCGTCTGGACACGATCTTTAGTTCAGGCCGCTATTTTTACAGGACAGTCTGATCCTTGTGTCTCGGTTTCGGCATGTCAGGAATTTAGTAGTTTCGCACTGTGAGCTTGTGGATTAATTCCCAGACTAGATTTCCAAGTCCTCCCGGATCTATCGCCGCCCAAATTTCGACACCGAAGTGTTCTCACAAATCTCGACCCATTTCCAGCTCCCCTGAAGCTCAGATCTCTTCCCTCCGAGAGCCCTATCACGCCCCGAAGCGCGACAGGACCATTGACATTGTGTGCAGGTTGCACGAAAAGTCCGTGACGGCACTCCTCATCTCAATCCCAACCCCAATCTCAAATCTCGGGGCACCGATTTCGGCCAGCCATCGAGCATGCCCAATGGATTTTGCTGCAGCTTGTGCAGCCGTGTTGACAGATTCGCACGACTATTCCGTGGATTCGCTGGCTCGGGTGCTCTGCAGCTCGTCTCGTCGTTGACGAATGGATCCCGGTCGAGACCCCGGGGCCGAGTCGTACATGATAAATAAAGACCGTGATGCGCGAGTCTGCGCAGCTTTTCTCTGCGATTCGCGAACGCCAAAGCCATCGCGAACGCCTGCAGCAAATATCTGATCGCGTTCAGGAATATATAATCAATCCGAGGGTCCACGGCCTCGTCGGGCCCACGGTCCCCACCTCCTGCCGCCTTTTGTCCTTTTCCTTCCTTCTTGTCTTTTGCGGCACGTTTCGGCCTTTCCGGCACTGACTGACTCCCCTCGTACATTGCCCGAGTCCACCCGGGCGGGGCGGGCCGGGGCATTCCCCTTGCCACCCTCCGGAGATCGGACCGGACCGCGACCGGCCACGGGGTGATCCTTTCCGGTGCCGTCGCTGAGTTAGTTCCGGCTGCAACGGCACTATACGACAAAGGCAGGTGGACCCTCATATTTGCCCGAATCCCTAGGCGCCCCTCGCCCTCATGACGCGTGTCGGTGGCCGTTCGCCGGCGCGGAGCGAGGCTCTATCTGTGACTGCTTTTCGTCGGGAGCAGTTCCGGTTGGGCGTCGCTTGTTCGTTCCTTTTGTCGTTTTGTGAAGCGGCAGCGGACCACGTCGTGCCTTGATGACGTCATCCAGTCCAGTCAGAGCCCCTTGATAATATTGGCTAGGAAAGCCAATATTAGAATAATTTATGCAAAATCTTTGCTTTGTACGTAGCTGCTTTGACCCCTGAGCTAAAGACTCTCAATTAAGGTGGACAAAGGGCGTTAATAAGTAGACAAGCTAACAAGCCCTGGTTTGGATTATTTTGTTTAGATAATTAAAGTTTCAACTTGTATGAAAATTGTGAAACTAGAGTAGGAAAAAATCCATCTTATTAACACTATTCATACATTTTTTAATTATTTTGCTACTGTATTTAACACCATTTTATAAATGCACCATTTTTTGGTGCGTTTGTGCTTTGTACTCTCTTTTCCCGAAGGTCTTCTGACGGCTTGACTTCTAATAATGCGTCTTCTTTCTGGTCCTGCATTCCAGGGTTGACATAAGACTCCCAACGGTAGAAGTCAGATACGACCACCTGAATGTCGAGGCAGAGGCATTTATCGGTGGTCGAGCTCTACCAACTCTTTATAATGAAGCGAGGAACACTATTGATGTGAGATTTTTGGCCACCCTGCAAAACTTTGCAATATTTTTGTTTTCCTTTTTCTACTGATTTAGTAGTATCTTGCCCGAAAAACATAATTCGCTCGAAGGCCATTGATTCTGTCACAACTTTTGTCCTCTTTTGTACTATGTCTCTTTCACTCTGCTGCAATTGTTTCCATCGATAGATATATGTATATATACAAAGATCTAATTTTTTATCACATGCACTTTGATTGCTGTGCAGGCTATTTTGACCAAGATGCACATCCCTGTGACTAAAAAGCATCATGTCTCGATCCTACACGATGTTAGCGGAATTATCAAGCCTAGCAGGTCTGTCATTGGAATCCCTTTGCTCTTCAAATATAATCCACGTTTTGTGGTTTATTCGATAGTAGATTTCTGTTGATGACATCAATTGAATCATTAATTTGCACAAACCAACAATCTCATTTCCCAATGTCAAATGTTGCAGGATCACGCTTCTTCTTGGACCACCCTCTTCAGGGAAAACAAGTCTCCTTCTTGCGCTCGCAGGAAAATTAGACAAAAATCTGAAGGTAAGGAAGAAGTCACTTTCTTTTTGTTCTACTCATTCAAATGAGTGACCTGCTGCGAACACAATACTGAAACTGATTGTATGAGCCAGATGTATGAAGTTAATATGATTATTTTGCTCTATAGGTATCGGGTGACGTTACCTACAATGGGCACTATCTCCACGAGTTTACCCCTCAAAAAACGTCAGCATACATCAGCCAGCACGACTTGCATATCGGAGAGATGACAGTTAGAGAAACATTGGACTTCTCAGCCAAGTGCCAAGGAGTTGGTCAAAGATACGGTACATTGTACTCGCATGACTGTCTTGAATCAAAGTATATGTGGCAAGATTTATATTCCCTTGCAAAAAAATGTCGCCTTCAGAGAGGAATGTGGATCGTTTGTGAGCAATGACTCGAGAAACAATTGCATTTAGGAATATGCACAAGACTACAGAGGAACTCCAGAGGCGAGCACAGATTCCAAATGCTTGACAGAGGATCATAAAATACTGGGAAAAAATGGTTCTAAAAATCTATGAAGGCAATCAGCTAATGTCACGAGTCTGGAGGAACTCTTGAGCTTGACCAAGTTGTTTTCCAGCAATGGTTCTCATGATTCCTGACGAGATCTAATCCTGGTACGATTTCACACGATGCAGATCTGTTGACAGAACTAGTTCATAGAGAGAAGGACAAAGGAATCTACCCCGAAGCAGATGTAGATTTCTTCATGAAGGTAACACCCATTGCATCCTGTTCTGCGGCGTTTGCTGTTAACATTGTTATCGATCTGGTGTATTCATTTGGAGCTCTATTGAATGGGCCACTCAGTTCGCCGTTTATCTCCTGTCGAAAGATAGAACATGCTTTTTGAATGACAAACGAGTTATGGACTTTTGCAGGCTGCAGCTCACAAGGAGAGCTCTAGCGAGCTCATCACAGACTACACCTTGAAGGTGTGCCTCCATACTTCAAGTGATGTGATTTTAATCATCCACCTGCATATGATGTGAAATCTAGTTTTCTCTAAAGCAGACACGGGAAAGCTGTCATCTTGAGAAGTTTGGAGTCTCCATAAATGTAGGATCCGTCCATAGTCGTCAATGCTAACGCCTTCTTCGACATACGACTTTTTGTGGATCGCAGCTTCTGGGTCTGGACATATGTGCGGATACAATGGTTGGAGATGACATGCGCAGGGGTATTTCTGGTGGACAGAAAAAGAGAGTGACAACTGGTGAGCGTCGCACATTTTGCTCACAGCTGTCTTCCGACACCATGCATTTCACTAGGAATGTGTAGATATTTTCCAGCATCGATCATGCTCGTGGATTCCATCTGGAAGACGTTTAAAGTTGACGTTCTTCTCTAATTTTGCAGGAGAGATGATCGTGGGGCCCATGAAGACCTTGTTCATGGACGAGATTTCCACTGGTTTGGATAGTTCCACTACTTATCAGATCGTGAGGTGCCTCAGAGATATCTGTCATGTACTTGAGAACACCATCTTGATCTCACTTCTCCAGCCTGCACCCGAAACTTACAACCTCTTTGATGACATTATCTTGCTCTCTGAGGGTCAGATCGTCTACCACGGACCCAAGGAACATATTCTCGAATTCTTTGAGGACTGCGGTTTCAAGTGTCCTGAAAGAAAGGGAGTAGCTGACTTTCTTCAAGAGGTAAACAGCCGTGAACTTGACTGCAGTCGTATCTGAACTTGCCGAACCACCTCTGAGTGATATAACACGTCTCTTCCAGCTTTACAAGTTCACCAGATTGATTGAATGTGGTCTAACTGATTGCAGGTGACATCAAGGAAAGATCAACAGCAATACTGGTCGGACAAAGAAAGACCATACCGGTTTGTCTCAGTGCGGGAATTTTCTGAAATCTTCAAAAGTTTCCATGTGGGAAGGAAACTGGCTGCAGAGCTGGGAATTCCCTTTGACAAATCGAAAAGCCACAAGGCCGCATTGATATTCGATAAGTTCAGCGGAACGACGAAGGATCTCTTCTGGGCGGTGTATGAAAAGGAGTTGTTGCTCGTCAAGAGGAACTCTTTCATTTACGTCTTCAAAAGTACACAGGTACGCAGACAGCCACCATTTTCATCTCCTCTGGAGTCATGCTAATCATGCACAATTACATCCAGATACTTTGCGGTGGATGAATCTAAATACCTGGACCTTTCATGTCTGCAGATCGGAATCATGGCCTTGGTTGCTATGACTGTGTACTTCCGCACAGAAATGCACCGAAATGACTTAGGAGACGCCCGAGTGTACGCTGGAGCTCTCTTCTACGGAATCGTGAACATTATGTTCAACGGTTTTGCGGAGCTCTCCATGACAGTCATTCGGTTGCCAGTGTTTTTCAAGCAAAGAGATCTTCTCATGTTCCCCCCATGGGCTTATTCTCTTTCTACATTCGTTCTCCGAATCCCGTTTTCATTCCTTGAGTCCCTGGTGTGGATCGTCATCACTTACTATCCGATCGGATTTGCTCCGGAACCTGGAAGGTGCGTTAACACTGTCTGCCTCACTCTGTCTATCGGCTGCAGCTCAGGTTGATATTCTTTGATTTTAATTATCAAAACCAAGTTGCGAGAAGTAATTCTAGCTGCAGATTCGCCTCATAGTACAGGAAACCGTCCCTTCGAGTGACTTAACATTGCCTCAAACATCTGAGTATGTGGACCCGTTTCATATGTGCAGGTTCTTCCGTCAATTGCTGCTCTTCTTCTGGGTCCACATGATGTCATCAGCACTCTTTCGGCTGATTGCTGGACTCTGTCGCTCCATGATCATTGCCAACACGGGAGGTTCAGTTGGGCTCTTGATCGTCTTTGTTCTCGGAGGTTTTATCATTCCAAGGACATCTATTAAGCCTTGGTGGATTTGGGGTTACTGGATCTCTCCCTTGGCTTACGCCCAAAATGGTGTCCAAGTCAACGAGTTTTTGTCCCCAGAATGGTCTGCGGTAAGAATACGTTCTTGAAGTGCAGCATGCCAGTTTGTGGATCCTTTTCAGACCACGTTCTTGTCTTTTCAGTAGACTGTCACGCTAACATTCATCACTTTATCATCTTCAAGAGTCCAAGACTTGCATGCATCCTTGCGTGCAACAGCAAGACTTACAAGCTGTGCATACTGTAAGCATTTTGATTCGACTGAGCACTTACATTGAGGACCTGTGTGCCAAATTCAGCCCTTCCCAGAACCAAACGGTGTGAACACCACTTTGGGTATCAAGTATCTCGAGAGTGCCGCCCTATTCACAAGAGGCTATTGGTACTGGCTAGCAGTTGGAGTCATGATTGGGTATACTGTCCTCTTCAACGTGATGTTCAACTGGACAATCACATATCTTGACCGTAAGTTTTCCAAACTCTGCAAAGTAGACGTGAATGTTTCAAGGTGGCTTTAGATGATGGCCTCAACTGTTCTACTGGAAACTATAGATCAGATAAATCGGAATGCGCCAGGGAGCCATCGAAGAGTATCTGTGTTTTTCTGGGAAGGTAAACCTGTGCTGATTAGTATGACTTTTGAATGATGCAGCTCTCGGTAGGCCTCAAGCTATCATCTCCGAAGACGACGTAGCAGAACAGCATGCCATCCGTACTGGTGAAGAGCTGCCATCCATGACGAGAAAACGTCCGAGCATGCTTCGACAAACGTCCACCAGCTACAGAGGTGAGCATGATTCCACGCAGTAGTAGGCAGAGAAAGTGGATGTGCCTCGTCACGGTGGTGTTTTTCAATATCGTGTGTATGAATGAATGACTGAGAGAATGTTGTCCATGAATCGTTTGTAGGCCATCAGAAACAACCCAGAAGTCTATCAGCAAGGAGCAGCGATGTGTCCTCGCAAGGCGAGATTGGCATGGCCAGAATGAGTAATTCATCGACCAGAGGAAGAGACTCATTGGACCGCGTAGAAGAGATTCTAGACGGAGGAGCTGTTGGGCCTGCCAGGAAGGGCATGATTTTACCTTTCCAGCCTCTAGCAATCAGCTTCAACGACGTGAACTACTACGTGGACATGCCTGCGGTAAGTCTCAGCGCAGCTGCTTACAACCTGTTTCGTTGTGCCCAGTCAATCAACGTTTCCAATGGAAGTTTGACAGTTTGACAGAATTCTGATGCGCTCCCATCTTCACTCGCAGGAAATGAAACAACAAGGCACAGTGGACGACAGGCTCCAGCTTTTGAGGGAGGTGACCGGAGCTTTCAGACCAGGTGTCCTTACTGCGTTGGTCGGTGTAAGTGGAGCAGGAAAGAGTACTCTCATGGACGTTCTTGCCGGAAGGAAAACTGGAGGATACATCGAGGGAGACATTCGAATTTCTGGGTATCCCAAGGTCCAGGCCACATTCGCTAGGATTGCTGGTTACTGTGAGCAGAATGATATTCACTCCCCACAAGTGACGGTGTATGAGTCCCTAATATACAGTGCCTGGCTGCGGTTGGCTAAGGAGATTCCCAATGAAACAAAGAGGGTAATTCTCTTCGTCCTTTTCCTCCCCCCTGCCTAATGACTCCTAGTTATGTCGTTTCGTTCTGAGAAGAGCTTTGTACATGTCTCATTAAGGATCCTGGAATTTTGAAGGTCCTCTCACTTGTAGACTCCTTCTTGGAAGTATAAGAACAGACAAACTGAATTGTGGATGTTCCACCTGCAGGAATTCGTAGAGCAAGTCATGGAGTTGGTCGAGCTTGTAACCCTGAGAGATGCATTAGTCGGGCTCCCAGGTGTGACTGGTCTGTCAACAGAACAGAGAAAGCGATTGACCATCGCTGTTGAGCTCGTGGCGAACCCTTCCATCATTTTCATGGACGAACCTACTTCTGGTCTGGATGCCCGGGCTGCCGCTATTGTTATGAGAACTGTTCGTAACACCGTGGATACTGGACGAACTGTGGTGTGCACCATCCATCAGCCCAGCATTGATATCTTTGAAGCTTTCGACGAGGTACTTTTCTTACTTTTTCCATTTTACTACATTTTTCACATGAAGCTGACAAGTTAGAGCAGTCAAGTTCGTGTCAAACTTTGATTGTAGAGCCCTAAGAATTTTCCTGAACCCCTACATGCGAAGATGATTGTTATTGTCTTCAAGTTTTCAGATCTCTTTAAATAACAAACGATTAACTACGCAAGTTAAGTGCCATACTCTTGTATTAGTACCTTGATTCAACATAACAACATGTTCTTCTTTCCTGCAGCTGCTTCTTCTGAAGCGTGGTGGACAAATCATCTACGCTGGACCGCTAGGACGACACTCTCATAGGCTTGTCACCTATTTTGAGGTTGGTTCCTGAAAAACTACAGTTGTGATTTTCTTCTGGATCAAAGGTTCACTGCTGAAATAAGAGTCTTCCTGTTAGTCCAGTCCAGAGCTAGTATCTTTAAATGCACGCTGAATAAGGCAAAGTTCGGAACTAACGAATAAATGCTCACTAATGGTCGAGAGCATGTCCATCAACAAATCATCAGGTAACACCAGTGACGAGTTAATCAAACTGAAACGATGATCTTATATATCGAGATTTTGTCTAAGATAAAGTCTTACGAGCACAACTATATCGTGACTTATAGGCTCTTCCCGGAGTACCCAAGATCAAGGAAGGCTACAATCCAGCCACATGGATGTTGGAGGTTTCTTCTCCTGCTATGGAGATTAAGATGAACGTTGACTTTGCAGAGCTCTACAAAAGCTCCGAACTGTATCAGTGAGTATCGATCCAGTCATATTTGTTTTGCAAGCTCATATTGTTCTCGCTCTGCTTAGACAGTGCTCCGTCCTTGAACGTTTCTGATTGAATGTGAACTTGCATGTTTACAGGAAAAACAAAGCCTTGGTGAAGGATCTTAGTGTACCGAATCCAAATTTCAAGGATCTTTGGTTTCCAACACAGTACTCTCAACCATTTTGGGCCCAGTTCACCTCCTGCTTGTGGAAGCAGCATCTAACTTACTGGCGTAGTCCTGACTACAACAACATTCGGTATCTGTTCACCCTTATGGCTGCTCTTCTGTTCGGCACAATCTTTTGGGGACTGGGGAAGAAAAGGCAAGTATATACATGCGCCATGCCACCTTCCTCTCGCTCGTCGCCATTTTCATCCACTGCTGAGACATGCCCGAGTATCATGCTTCAAGGAAATCGATGGAATGTTCAGAGAGGGACACGAGAGTTTCTACCATGATGGATGTCTACGTTCTGTTCTGACTTTAGTGCACCTGTAATTTCCACAGGAATGAGGAAAGCACAATCTCCAGTATTATGGGAGCATTATTTGGTGCCACTCTCTTTATCGGAGTGAATAACTCCTCCACCGTCATGCCCATCGTAGCGACCGAAAGGACAGTGTTTTACAGAGAGCGAGCAGCTGGGATGTATTCTGCCATTCCGTATGCCATAGCTCAGGTAAGCTCTATCCATACCTCCTGTTACTGAGATTATACAATTTTCAGTGACATGATAGCTTGATGCGAGTGTCCCTAAATCAGAGTATGTATTGTTCCATAGTTTTAAACATCGAGCATAGGTTGGAACTCTTCAAACGCGGGACTGAGTTTGGACGTTGGTGATTATGACAGGTGCTAATCGAGATACCATATAACTTCCTCCAAGTCATCATTTACGGAGTGTTGACGTATGCCATGATGGAACTCGAATGGACCTTCATTAAGTTTTTCTGGTACATGTTCCTCATGTTCACGACCTTCCTCTACTTCACCTTCTACGGTATGATGGCGGTCGCTCTCACTCCCAATCATCAAATTGCGTCTATTGTGGCGGCTTTCTTCTACAACATTTTCAACCTGTTCTCAGGCTTCCTGATCCCGAAGACGGTATGCCACTTCAAAGTTCCGAAACACAGTTTTCTCTTTCATCTTGAATTATGATCTGAACAAGCTTTTGTCTGAGAAACCATCGAGGAAATTTAGTGCCTTTGACTTCTTTGGTGTGGTAAGGTAGAGCTGTGCTTCATGAGCTTAATTTCTGTCTGATCGCATTTGCAGAGAATCCCGGTGTGGTGGATCTGGTACTACTGGGCATGCCCAGTAGCGTGGACGCTGTACGGGCTCATCGTCTCCCAGTTCGGAGATCTGACAAACGAGAATATGAATCTGATAGTACCAGAAGCTCAGAACGTGACAATCGCTCAATTTGTGGAAAGGAACTTCGGCTTCCAGCATAGCTTTTTACCGGTGGTGGGAATCATGCTCGTGGTGTTTCCCACAGTCTTCGCCTTAGTGTTCGTCTTTGCCATCAAGTTCTTCAATTTCCAAACCAGGTAGAACTTGATGATTCGATTCCCAGTAGCAAGCTATGAACGTAAAGTGCAGAGCAAGTCAACCGCAGAGGTATCAGTCAATCATCACTGGCGACGGGACAGGGGTCATGACAGGGGTCGGAGATTCAAGAATAACAGAATCCTTGCTGTGAAGGTCCAAGGTAGAGTGAACATTCGAATCTTTGTAAAAACGCTGGCCACATTGTAGGCCGCCAACTCGATTACCAAAGCTCGTCGAACAGGGAATGGAGCTCAGCAGACACCTCACCCCAGCTCAGATATTCTTTGAACTAGCTGAACTATGGAACCTTACGACGGATAAATCTATGATCTGGCACGAGTGCCGCAGATTAGCATATCCCGAGACTCCGATCCCATGGATAGATAGATCACGTGGGGCGGTCGAGCATGTGGTAAGGCGACGGTTTAGCCAGGACTCCAGGTGCCGAGGAGTAGTCAGTAGGATGGTCTTCACCTCCAACAACTTCATGTACATGGAGTGCCAACTCAACAGCTGCTACTTGAGTTGATTAGGAGTCTCCTAGGCGAGAGGGCAGCCCGACAGATCTCAATTTCAGCCGATAGAATTGTCTTGTACTATAACCTTACTAGATAAGAAACTTACCGTCTTGGTTTCTCTCCTTTGTGGGTGGGACAACTGTACTAAATTTTGTGAGTTTCACCTCAAAATGTACACAACTTGAGATTTCTAATTTCAATATTTCTACTCGACATACGGTCACATTGACTAGAAACCGCTTCTGCGCTTGTGTCTTCTTCACATCCATCGTACTCGTATCGACTCGTTTTTGAGCTGCATTTGGAAGTTTCTGCAATGAGAGCTGTCGGTCAGTATACCGAGGGTGATGTCAGAGTTCGAAGTCCGCCATCTCTCTCGCCGAGCTGGGGGCGACTCAGCTTCACCCTACACCCCCCAACCATCAGACGAAGCTCATTTGCGACAGCACGATGCGTTGGTTGCCGATGACATGCAATTGACTCGAGCGTTGATATTCATGAGCTCTTCATTCATGAGAGCTTTATCAGTCATGTACTAAAGTTTACTGAATGAAAAAACATCGCCACTGCTAAAGCCTGCGACGTTCCCACACCTTCTCCATCGAACAAGCTCCCATGAATTGCTTCACCTTCAGCTTCACAGTCCCCAGAGCTGTGAGTGGGAGGACCGTCAGACCGAGTCTGAGCCGGATATTAGCCAGCGGTCCAGCTTCGAGTGTCGGGACGTTGTCCTGAAGTCACCGGTAAGTCGAAGTCGAAGTCGTCGTCGTCGTCGTCGTCGTAGACGTCGCGATCGCGACTGCGAAAGCCGACGACGTTCCCACGATACCGACCGTATGTCGTTGCGCCTTCTCCTCCGCATCCGGAGTGAGAATATATGTACGTATTCAGTACTTTTACCGTATGTACGAATACATAAATTGTCTTCGAGATGAACTTCTGACTAGCGCGATACGCGGTGCCAACTCAGCATGTGAGTCGGACGCTCCGTCATTAGTTCCACAGCACCCGAACGGAATTATGCCCACGCTCTAGTGTCTCCGTCCGGCTAGTCGGGCCGGCGAGCAGTCAAATAGAATCTGCTCCGGAGGGCATGGAAGCTGACCCGCTTCGAAATCTGGGTTCGGGTCTCGACCGAATTGATCACTGTAACTATTTCGGTACCGTACATTTCTATATTAGATAGTGGTATAACTTTTGGTTCTATAGTTTTAAAAAAATATATAATTCAAATAAAAAAAATTAATGTGTATTTGTTCAAATATCTAAAAGATTAGTTTGAAAATTCGAATAAGGGTTGATAAAATTAATTTTTATAACAAGATAGACTACGTTAGAGTATACATCCTCTTAAGTCCTCATTATGATTTGCAAAGGTTGGTACATACTTATGTGGTATAAGTACTCTTAAATCCACACTATGATCCCCCAAGTTTGGTAGGAATTTATCTGGGATGCAGACTAATGGTTTTGACTTAATGAAGTAGGTTTAGGGTGAAGCTTCTTCTCTCACTCCTCTATATATGAAGTTGTTCAACGACTCGTGATTGCAACTACCGCATTATGAGTACAATAGAGGATTTTGTGCGCGAGACTACTAATGAATCTTTTTGGATTGTTCTGATAGATGGATGTGAATGTACATTTCTTCAACCTACTAATCAGCGCGATGTTGATGTGAACATGAACTGTTTCGATTGTTCCACTACGAAGAACCGCATGCGGTGTTTTTTTTTTCTGTTAGATCCACGCTACTAATCGAACCTAATGTCTTGTGTAACTTTGCGTGATCAATTTTGGATAACGATTTTGAGATAGTCGAGATTGCTTTTCTATCATCTAACGGAAGGAGTGACGGGAGAAGCTTTGGGAGGTGGTCTAAAGGAGCTTCTGGTTCTGTAGAGATTTCAAGAGATTTATATTTCTGGACATTCCGATTCTGAGTTTATTTCTGGAGATTTTGTAATTCAATTCATATTATGAATGCACAACAATCTTTTAAGAATAAGGATGAAGTCAAGGGTATGCATGATCGTCATCGTATGGAATTCATCAACTTACTAGAGACCATGCATAACGTTGCTCGACAATTTTTTTATGAAAAAGTTATTCTATAGATAAAGTCTAGCAAAGATTAAATATGTGACCGAGCACATAGGGTCGATCAAGCCATTCAAGAGTCAACATTCCGTGCTTCTGAGTCTATGATTCAATATATTGAGAAGAAGCTTCTTGAATGGATTGATGGACGACGCTGAACTTTGCTTGTTTTGACTCCCAGTATTATTAGTCACAAAGCAAAACAAATTGCAACTGCAATGGAAATTGCTGATGATAAATTGAAGGCATCATGGGACTGATTTCCAAAATTTTGACATCGACACAGTTTAAACATCGTGAATTTGTTTGGAGAAGGTGGCAAGGTCAACAGATACAGTCTACAGACATTGAAAGATTTGGAAGAATTTTTTTTCTTGATTGGCCAAAATGTTCATGATGCCTTTACAACATGAACAAAACTTGGTTGTTTTTCTGAGTCTTTCCACCATATTTTGTGCTAATGATTCATGAAGACCTAATCACATTCCAAGGCAAAAAAATGAGTAAAAAGACAAGGTAACATTGATGGTGTGTTGCAACTATAGTGAACTAGAACAAATCTCGATCACAATGATTGGAAAGGCAAAAAAAATCCGCGTGCATTGCCGAGAACACTTGGTCCATTACTTATTTTCACTAGAAAAACGCTTGGATTGATATTTTGAGATTCAATAAGTGATTTGATGAGGTCTTTCAGCTTTATGTTTGTCAATGAACAAAGTACAAAGTGTTGTTACTTCTTGATAATGCTTCTGATCAAAATACTAAGTTTTTAGTGCAATGGCATTTGTGTTGACTTCTTTTTGCCTAATGTTATTTTTTGGAAGCCCCCTTTAGGATATGGATATCATTGTAGTCGAAAAAAAAACTATACAAGTATATTCTGCTAAAAGATATCGTTGCATTTTATGATAATCTAGAAGAATTTAAAGACCAACTTGCATTAGCAACTTTGAAACTCAAACGAAGTGTAGCTGGAGTTGCTTACGGAAGTACTTCACATTTGCTTGATGTTGCAAACTTTGCAAATACTGCTTATAAAGACATTTCTATTGATAGTTTGAAAAATTGCTTTAAAAAAGCAAATATTATTCCTGGAGTTGGCACCGGCGATAATACCGACTACGATGATGTCACTATTGTTGACATTGTTGAGATGTTAAACAAGTGTAAGCTTCTCAATGGATCTAGTGAAACTAATGTTAAGAGCGAGATTGAGAAGTATTTGAATGATGAGAACAAGGATTTGCATATGTATTAGGATAATCTGCTTGAACAAATTGAAAATGCTCTCTATATCATTGTTTTAAAGCCCAAACTTGGCCATAATGACCTTGATATGGATCATCGTGATGTGATTTCTCACACAATGATGAGTGTTATCAAGCTTGAGGTTGAAATGGACTAGCTAACATGATTCTTTTATTTTTCATCACATCAGATTAATCAAGCTCTTTTTACACTTCGTCATGTTTTAAAGCAAGGTAGATATGCCATCGTCCATGAACAATATGAAAACAATCACAAATTGAACATGTTTGACTTCTCTTCATAACAAAACTCAAGAATATTGATACTTGAAATGTTGTTTCAAAAATGAGTACTTAGGTGACATGAGTATTGAAAAAATGTATAATATAAAGTTAAATACTTTTATATATGTGTATATTGAAATTTTTTAAAAAAACCTTACATTATGTGTAATTTTTAGTTTTTATAATATCTTACCAAAATAAATATATCTGCATGAAATTAATATCATTGTTCATTTCAACTTGTTATCATGTAAAATATTAAAATTATTGTTCAATATTAATTTATAAAAATTTCAATTGGGATTATATATTTCATTGTATTTCTACACATTGAATATGTTCAAATCATTTTACGTGTGTGGAAATGAACCGTTAACATCGTCATGAAAGCTCGGAAAATGACTCCAAGCTCTCCCCCTTGGAATTCTCTGTTTCTTCCTCCCGATTCGGTATTCGAAGCTCTGAACTTTTGCTCTTCCGACCGACCAATAGACAGAAGGAAGGAAGCCTCTCGCTGTTCGAAATTTGGAAAGACCCGCTGCACCGTATAACTGGCGATGGTGATCGGTAAAAGAGAGTCCTCGGGCTGCCTGAAGAGCAAAGGGAGTCATGTCGTTCTGATTGAGGTGAAAATTTCTCCTTTCGTTGATAGCCCCCACTTTCGCCGTCATCAGACAGCCTCGGGAACTTCGCCTCGCCTCGTTTGTGATGAATTTTATCCTACGTTCTGGTTTGCCATCTTCTTCGTGGAGCAGTTTGTTCATTGCAGCACATTCAGCACTTGTGTCTTCTTACCTGAACCTACAGAAGTAACGGTGGCCTTTGGCCTCTGGCTTCTGCCCATGTCTCGTCTCGTCTCCGCTGTCAGGGAATTACGAAAGCAGGAGGAGGAGTGAGCGAGCGAGCGATTGGACTTTCTATGGCGGACGGGTGCAATTACGTGCAGAATCTCGCAGAAGAAATGTTGGTGTTCGAAACGGTTCAGCTGTTGGGCGTCGGAGGAGACTCCTCGGCCATGACGCAAGACACGATCGCAGTCTGTCGACCGCGGCTACCGCCGGAATGCTCGTCTACACCTCAAATCGTTCCACTCCCATCGAGCCATGAAACCATGAAACCGCGTGCCGGTCATCCTGATCCTGCTCAGCAGGATCTTCCTTCACGACAAGAACAGTGGACGTCGCTCACTTCGTCTACTGCTGACCATTGTCGAATAGTTTCGGGACATGACCCTCTGAATTCACCGCCCTTTGCAGACTCTGATGTGGATTTCACAGGCGACTATGCTCGTACCGCAGACGGGGAAGACCCACGCTTATCGTCGGGACGGAGATCAGATGCTGCTCGAGGTGGATATGGATATGGCCTCGTCGCGCTGGTGCCGAAGAAAGGACAATGTCAGAAAGGCGGCGCAGGCGACGACTGCTGTTTGTGCCTTCCGTGTTCATACTGCTATAGATGACGGCGGAAGCACGAGACTCGAGCCTATTCCCGTAATAGGCTCGACTCGATTCCTTCGAATAATCCTCAACACGGTGACCGAAGGAAGAGCCATCAGAAACACGCCCTCTAGATCTTCAACCTCGAAGTTCGATCACTAATAATTTATTTATCACCGATCGCTGGCCCCAATTATCGGGAAATCGATCCCCGGATTATGAACATGTGAATCACGAGTAGCTTCGGTTTGCAGCAACGGAATCAAAATGTCGAGGCGAAGGGCGAAGCTGTTCATGTTCGGCTGCCAACTCTGATTTTTTCAGAGTTAGAGAATCTGAGTCACGCCTTCGGTTGCCATTGATAACGAGCTCTTTATGTCACGACGAATGGTATTCCAGAGCAGATGTGGATTTTCTGGGGCGCGCGACAGTATGAAACAATTCGAGTTCTTTGGGACTCTCCTGCTTTCTTGGTCTCCAGGTTACCGTTTGCGGAGATACCTCTGGCCTCTCGTAAGGAATCTCCTCTCGCAAATCTGTTCAATAAGAATGTCACTATTCCTAATAGGGACATGATATTATTCAATGGTGATAATTTCAAGTGCGATTTTGGAGTAAAAATTACTATCATAATCACAATATATCACTATGAGACTTGAAAAAAATGTGACATAAATTTATTTTAAAGTATAGCTCAACAATTTACTAGCTCAAAAATTTGTCTTTCTTGAGACTCGTAAAATAATTTGTTACATAAATGACCGTTAATTTTTTCACTTAGATTTTTGTGTATTAATATGCATTCAAAAATAATTATAATATCTATGTTAATTGTCGTGAACAATACAAAGATGCAAATAAAGACAATTTTGAAACTAAACAACACTTTTAAATACTATCCTAGGATTGATATAATGTAATATAAAAAATTTATGAGTTTTTTTTTTAATAATTGACACCTCCCAGTAGTGACATCTAACACCAACTCATGTTACTATTAAGAGATAATATTAAGATTATACACCTCCCAAGAATGATATACAATTCTAACACCAATGTATGTTACTGTTATGAGGTTAGTCATTTTATTAATAGTGACATAAAACCCAAGTACCAATATATGTCCCATATACTATTGGGAGGTTTAACTCTGTATATAAAAATAAAGACATGCCAAGCTTGAGTGGACCTTTCATGGTTTTTTATGACCTAACAAAATTCCTGATAGAACTTATCACAGTGATGAATTTTAGTCGAACCGGACCAATAGAAGCTCCATTGATTGTAGATTTACTGGCCGTCAACTAAAATTTTGAGCAGATAGTAACAATATCTCAATTTCTGCTTTCGTTGTTCCTCTCCTCTCCTTGGAGTAGAACGAGAGAGACTCGAGAGAAAAACAGCTGATGGTCGCTTTCAGCTACCCTGCAGGGAGTGAAGTACGTTCATGATGGGAGGTACTAAAAGGTGCATGCTCCTGATTGCTCTACAGTTTATCGACCAGTCGCTGAGGCTTCCATAAGAAAAATCTGGGCACCGAGAAATAGAGCAATATGGATGGGAAGACCCTATCAATCTGTACAGGTATCAAGTTGTACGCTAGGCTTCCATATAACATAATCCTATACGTCCATTTACAGAAGTACCTATTGTATTTATGATTGACTGCTTAAACAGAAAGTGGTATCATATTTCTTCACTTGCAAGTAGACCTAACGTAGCAAATTGGAATAATCTGATTCACCGTTGGAAAAGAAATCGAATGGAGTCTCCGTAAGAGATAATTTGGCATTTTACTGCATTTATTATGAACATTGACGGAGTACAGCTCATGTGAGTCTAGCAAGTCACTGCGCAGCAGATGATTAGAGTAATAATTTTGCTGTAACTTAAGTGGACCCGATCATCAATCTGAGATTCGATTACCAACGAGAAGCTCCTGCTCTTGCCCTTGCTGCTGCAGCGACAAGAGCAGGAGCTATGATACCGGAGTTGACAACTGTATGCAGATGTAAGACTCTTGCCTAGACTCTTAGCTGACAATCCACCACCATCGATTTGGATCGTTTCAGCATTAGCTAGTTAAAACAATCAGCTATAGAAGTGCATCCGATTTTCATGGTAGTCAACTCTCAGCACGGGCGATGTCGTCATACACGTACTCTTGATTCCCAACGAAGTTGGAGTACAAGTGTTGATTAGTGCGGCCATTATAAAACTTTGGCTAGATCAACCCCGACCGTATGCCATTCGACCGTGAAGGACTCACCCGTCGAGCGCGCACCCTCTAGAAGCCGTCGGATGGCACACGGTCGGGGTTGTACTCTGACAGACTTTGTAGACTTCGGTCGTCCTGAACCATCATAGCTTCAAAACAGCCCAAGGGCATTTGGCGTCATCTCTGACGAGAGCTTTGCACCTGCCCTAAGATCTGCATAATTACTTCAAAGCTTTGGAGTAATTCTAATTCTCACAATCTCTGGATGGTGAGAGCACAAAACTGACACGTACTTTTGATTCCCAACGAAGCTGGAGTACAAGTGTTGACTAGGTGTGGCCATTATAATGTATAATGGCTTTATAATACTTTATAATAGGGTACTTTATAATACTTTATTATAGAGTACTTTATCATTTATAAAGTACTCTGAGAGACTTTGTAGACTTCGGTCGTCCTGAACCATTAGAGCTCTAAAACAGCCCAAGGGCATTTACCGTCAGAGATGACGGTAAATGCCCTTGGGCTGTTCAGGTGAAAAGCTCTCGTCAGAGATGACGAGAGCTTTTCACCTGCCCTAACATCTGCATAATTACTCCAAAGTTTTGGAGGAACTCTATCTCTCACCATCCGGAGCTGGTAAGAGCACAAAACTGACGCTGCTCCTCGTGTTCTGCTCAAAAGCTTCATCATGTGCTCGTTTGGAGCTTTAATATGCCAGAGTAACCTTTGTTGCAATCGAGCAAGTACCAGCACACCTGTACTTGCTAGAGTTTCTGCATTTCATAATTTCTTATCGTCACTTGGTGATCGCTATTGGGTGGTAGATATCTATGACGACTTGAGACATTTTGAAGACTGCGGAAGGAAATGTAATGTCATGATTGTTCTATTGTGCATTAGATCGGTTCAGGATCAGAAGTTATCGAAGTGCTGGAGTGAGTGCTGCACTGTCGTCCTTGGATTCAGAGCTCTTCAAAGCTGTAATCGGCAGCACTAGAGTTTCCTGCTGTTTTACAATCCAATCGCTTTGCTCACATTATTTAAATTGATCATTGTCAACTGCGGCAAACCCAGCGATTGTAGTGGCTCATGCACTCGAATAGTATGGAGACAAAACCAAATTGTTGCAGACTTAAGTGGAGATACGTATGCACCTACTCCAGCCGTACATCACAACTGGATGAAACAATGTTCAAATGGAACTGTCTGAAGCCTATGAAAGGAGTTGCGTTGATCGATCCCTTAGTTTCATCCATTTTGCGCATGGCCTGAGTAATATTCCCTAGTGGCGAAACCAATCATGCTCTACAGAGATTCAATCATTTCTGTACCTTCAAAGACACTCTTACTGATCAAATGATGAATGGATGAATGAATGAATGAACCCCATGCGACGGAACGGTCTACAGGTTTGATATTGTAATAGTCCTTCACATTTGTGGTCGAGGGGAAACGAAAGAAAAGCTCTTGCCCTCCAGATCCTCGCATTGAACAAACCGATCATCGTGGAGTTTCTTATGCCTGTCGATCTCACTTTCGAACTGTGTGTATTGCAGGCAAGCTCTTACGCGAGATGGAAGGAAGGGGAGGACTCACTGCTCTGTGGTGCTGCTGACGGCACGAGAGACGGATAGGATAAAACAGCACTTTGTCGAATGTTGCTTGGGTGCGGGCCCAGCTCTGAATGGTGTCAACATGACCACAGAGCTCTAATTTCGTCCAGGAATGTTACTCTGACCCTGGATGCGGCCGCTGCAATACAAAGCCGGTGTTCTTGTCACTATGCTGTGTAAACATTCTGCACATGCGAGGCCACTGAAGACATCTGACGACATTCTCCCTTAGTGACGAGGGACGCCTAGGCTTGGCCACGGTCCGGTCCGGACTGGCGGTTTACCCGTTTAGCCGGTCTCAATTTTCCCTGGAACCGGTTAACCGGTCCCCATTTCGGATACATTAGCGCCGTCTCCCCCGCCCCACTTGATCGAAGGGCGACAATTTTGCATCTTCTCAGTCGAGCATATCTTGGGGACTTCACGGTGTTCTGGATCGAACAGGTTGTTAGAATCGACTTGTCTTGTTTGTTTGGCCCCAGATTCAAACATGCGAACTTTTAGTGCACATCTAACCCCGTTCTAACTTCTGTCTTATGTATGTACATATGTACGATTGATTGATGAGAGCTTCGTGACGACAATTCATGGTAGCAGACAAAGTTGAGGATTTTCACCAATGAGAAAAGCTCTCTTTAACAGTTATCTATCGTGGAGACCAAGACGGAGAAGATAAAACTTCGGCATCTTGTATCATCATCTACTTCTCTCCATCTTAAGAAGAAGGTGGTTGAGTCTTAGCTTGGGTTCGTTCCCTTCTCGTCATTTAACAGTTGGCATGCAGGTGTTCGATGATCTCTACTATGTTTGACATTGTGTCCAATTTATGGAACTCAATTGCGTATTTGGTATTGGGATTGGCTCACAACATTTATAATCCAAGTTAAAAGTTTCAAAACAAACCCTTGAAACCGATTTTTAAAATCTAAAAAGAGTTTTAAAAAAAGTTGAAAAAGTTTTCGAACACTCATTTATCTTCATTTCTGTTTATCAATACTTCCAAATAGTTTGTCAATATCCCAACATAAATGTTGTATCCACTCTTTAGTTAAGTTTTGAATGAACCGGTTAGCAAGTTTACTTCTTTTTTTTTTCCTTAACCAGTTAACGTGACCGTGGCCAAGCCTATCGATGCCTCAGCTGGCAGTTCATAACCACAAATGTGGTGAATTGAATCCAATAGACATTGCAAATAGGCCTCGGCAAGGTAACCTTTTAGTGTTACCTAGTAAACGCTAAGGATAAAAGTTAGAGGTTTGGCTATAGGGATGGTAAAGGTAGAGCCACATGGGTTACCCGGTAATTATTGGATAAACAAAAACGTGGACACTCTCAGAATTACTTAGAATGTAATTTTGCACATTTTCCCTGAAAACGGGATTCAGAAAACAGCAATGCAGGTTTAAGCCAAATTGGTAATTCCGACCGCAATCTATGCTTTGCATAATCTCGTGAAAGCACAAAGTGTAAATAAGGAGTTAAAGGTTAAGCTCTTGCACATGATTGACTCAGATACAGATGACTGGTGACAGATTACAGATCTGGAGAGTTTCCATTCCATCACAAAATTGGATCAAGGACAAGGAGAAAATGAAGTGTCTTATGAACTTTTTAATGACAAATTGAATTTTACACTATTGTCACTTGCTATTTTTTTTCCTTTTCTTTTAGATTAGTTGCAGTAATCTTGTGGGCTCTCCATACAGGTTTTATCTCTGAAGTGTATAGCAGGTAGGAATGGAACTGATTTAGCAACAAATTACTCCTTCAAGATAATTTGTATTATCTAGTCAATCCATTACTTCCATGAACTCCTTCTATAAAGCAACATTTCGTAGTACTTCTTTGTACACCAGTCAATACAGGTCATACAACACACGGTTACATGATGTCAGTTTGACAATTTACCAGTTTACTAAATGGGTAAATAACCCTATTATCTCTTTCTTTTACCCTAAAAGGTAGATTTACCAAGTAAACTTAAAAGGTTAACCGGTAAGTATACCTTTTAATCCTTTAAGAATCCGTACCAGGTAACCAGGTAATTACCCTGAGGTAGAGGTAAAGGGTAAAGTTAAAGACCCATGCCCATGCATGGTTGTATTAGGCGACCGTATATACGATCGCCTAAATTACCTAAACTTGATGGTGATTAGGCGACTAAATTAAGGGAGTTATAATTATAAATTATAAGCAATCGAGAGTGGACACGTACGTGAAATTGATGGATTTTTTTAAAAAAATTATACATTGATGTAAATTTTTTTAAAAAAAATTTGAAAAATTTTTACTCCGAAAAAAATTTTAGTAAACTAAATTAGCCTAAATTAAATTTTTATAAATTAAATTGATCTAAATTACCTTTTTAGTGTACTAAATTAGCCTAAATGAACTTTGTAAGGAGACTAAATTCGCCTAAATTAATATTTTTGAATAGACTAAAGTAAGTTTTTCGAGGAGACTAAATTATACGTATTTAGGTAATTTAGGCGAGAGACTATTATATATTGATGCCTGCCCATGCCTTATGCAGTTAACTTTTACCTTACCTTGCAAATCATCAACTTTTCCATTTTTCAAAAAAGTAATGAATTATATGGATATGTATATAGAGCTTTTTGTCTATCTAAAATATATGGATATTATAAATCAATCTTAAATTAGATTCTATATAAAAAAAATGGAATCATATAAAGGGAGAACATATATCATACAAAAGCTTTGAAGAGCTCCCAATCACCATAATCAAGTGTATACATGAAAATTATTTGTATAGGTATACGGAGAGTGTGATAGTTTAGCATTTATAGACTAATACTTATGCAGAAAGTCTCAAAATTAGTGAATAACAAGCACTGTTATCTATTATCGTTTACTATTTCCATTTGACTCTGTACTTCTCGTCTATTATAAACTCATTGCTAACAGATATCTTTTAGACCTACAACCAAAGTAATTTATTCACAGTAATCGCATATAATACACCAGTGATCGCATGTATATTGGCTACTTAGTTAAATTGAATTGCATCATTCACGCTACTTTCTTCGCCATGCACCAATATTATTCTCACATGTTTGAGATTACTTCAGAACATCATTTGTTGGTTACTCATCTGATTTATTGATGAGTTAGCAACAGAAATGAATATGTTTCAATCTAACTCAGTCATAGAATCTTTCATTAATACATATGCTTTTCAGGCTGAAAGAATGTTTTAAAAAAAACATCAAGTTTCCATGTTTATAGAAAAAGAAGATTAAAAAATTTAAGTAAATCTCAATTCACAATATTTTTTTATTCATGTCAAAATGTATATGAGTGTAGTGATTTTAGTATGTATACACCCAACACATACCCACGTAGTTTTAGTGATATACACCCAAGAAATGCCACGCTATACACCCAAGTATTTCTTGGGTGTATATTCTTTGAAATTTTAGACCTTAAGCTTGGGTTGATAACATATTTAATATGTTAAAGTATCAAAAAGAATCATTTATTTTTGCGTCAATTTAATTAAAATAAATTTTACCGAAAAGAAATAATCAAAAAAATGGAAAAACAGTGTAGATTTTCACAGTATTGTGAAAATTCAAAAACATCATATAACTTTAAAATGTAATTGATATTTGTCCATAAACACATTTCCTACATACAAAGATTATAAGGAGAATAAAATTACTCAATGCTCAGAAATAAGTCAAATTGATGAGATTGTGATAATAATAAAAATTTATTTTCAAATTACATATTTATGATTTTATTTTTATTTTTTATTTAATTTTCTCCTGAAATAAATTATACATCTCCTGAAGCATTCAACTATCGAGTTAATTTTTTTAAAAAAAATTGATTCTAAATCATTCTATTATGTATTTTTCCAATCACATTTTGATAGATTACATGAATTGAATTATGTAAGCTGAATTAAAGATTGTGTTCACATACAATTTCAAATTCAAGTCACGTAATATATTATAATATAACACACAATTTTATATCATACGATGTAAGTTTGGTGTATTTTATAACACAATATAATATTGTAATAAATTTTTATCATAATGATTTTCAATCAAATGCATGAAGTAATAAATCAGGTGAATCTATCATGTGAATTATTATCATCGTGTTAGGTTTGCATTAGGACTATATTTCTTTATTTCGCGAATCACGAGAGAATCGCTTTCATTGCGCGTCTAAATGAAGTAAGACAAAACCTTTTAAATCCGTGTGGAACGTTGCCACGATCTTGTCGCCTTGTGATGGACCAGATGTCAGTCATACGTATATGATTGAGTCTACGATACGACGCATGTCTGTGGAAGCAGACGAAAAGTATTTGTATGTGAGGGCGGAATTCTTCTCGAACGAAGATCAGACTTGTCTCCCGAACGACTTATTATTATTCTCTGGGATTCTCTCTATAACAACATTGCAGTAGATTCCCGACCTTGAACCCTGGTCAGAAGTTTTGTACACTCTGTTCGCTGGAAGGTGAATCTTGGTATGAGGAGGCGCTAGTGTCCATGCAACGCACCCTCCGAGAAGTACAAATCAGGCTTTGGGATCCTTGGCCACGCGTCTAAATGTACATGTGGTTGGTTCGTCGAGGGCTTCACTATTGCTCTTTTGTGTAGCGACAGGCTTTTCGCTAGCATTGTTCACCTGGAAGCCTTGCGTCGTTTCATCTCCTTTGTCAACCTTGAGAGTGGGAGAACGACAAAAGATGAATCCAGATGCCTTGCCAGAGAACAAAAGAATGATAGTTTAATAATATTTAATTTGATTATAATCAAATAAGTTAATAAAAGAAATAGGTCATATTTGGACATGGACCTACGTTACATTCCCTACATTATAGGATGATTTTGCTTTGCCTTTGTCGTGATCTTTCTATTCTTTGCCTTCGAAAATCTCTGTCGGTTCAGATTGGCATTGGTCATGGAGATTTCATGGACTCGCCTACGTACTTGCTCTTACTAAGTGTTGCATGGTCCTGACTACGGGCGAATGATCCTGCTGGTCTCCGAAGAAACCGAGATAACCGAATCAAATCCAGCTAAATAGGACATGGCTCCGGTGGAGCTCACTACATTCATCCATGGAGTGTAATTCAAGTACTGCCTAACCTGTCAAAGTCCACTGAACTCACCGACGCCTCCGTACGATGTTCTCTCTCTCCGGAATGCGGAGTACGAACCCCTTGGAATCCGGCCATGGACAGTCATATCTGGAAACCAACAGCGTCACCAATGCCCACCGTAAGCTCAAAATATATTTCATCACTCGAACATGAACGAAGACTCAAGAACCTTACTAACTCTGGAGATAAAATATTTTCTCTTGATACAAACGAAATCACCGTGAAGGTATAAACCTCTATGAACCAATGACGAGGTTAAGGTTAGCTCGGGATTATTTCTCGCAACACGTGCTTACCTCCGTTTGTGTAATTATTGTCAAATTTGGCTTCACAAAACAAGAAGCTGCTGCTGCTGGAGCAATTACGTAGAAGAGCTGTGCATTTAAAGTTAATCGCACGACAATCGTCAACGAGAAATGTGTGACTCATGGCCTATGGCTAGGAATGGAGCAACAAGAAGGGACTGTTAACTCGTCTCTTGCAGAACTGTCGAATTATCGTTTAGCAGTGCACGTGCATTGCACTATCGGTTTTACAATGGTAAGGTTTGCAATGGTTTTCCTCATCATGATTAGTACCGATTGCAATGCTAGAAATGTAACTGACAAAAATATTCCCGGACAATATATTACAAGAGCCGTGCTATTCCTGGACAGAATGAAAGATTTATTTAGAAGACCGGACAAGAAGAGTACAAGGCTTGGAAGTTTCCCTTAGAAATAGATGAAGAAGAGATGAACTGCAATGTGATCAGGATCGTGCAATGTGTACTTCAGCTTTCCATGCGATCAATGCATCATTATGCACCCAACCAGGACCGAAGCTCAGCTCCTATGAGCGTTCGCCAAATCGTGGCTTCCTTCCCACCTGTAAGGAAGCCGTCTGGAAGGTGCATTTCGCTTTTCTGTACATAGCAGCAATTTCATCGGCTCTGAATCCGGTCGTCAGGCTCAGGCAGCACTAATTGAGTCGGACTGCTTACTCCGGAGGTTCCAGTGACGCCACCTCAAAATTTGACGTCACAGCAAAAGAAACTTATCCGGCCAGGCAGAAAGTTACATGGTAGTGGAGCTGTGTCAGTTCATGATGGCCGAGACTTGCGTGGAGAAAACAAGGACTATCAACGTAGCCAGTTTCTGACCAGAGCTACTGAGCACTGACAAGAAATAGACTTTGAGCTTCTCTAGATACCAGATCCGATCAGAATCGATGTCCGCCATAAGTTGGGGGAGTTGGACTCAGCCCGTGAGTTTAAAAGTACCATGCTGTCATTACTCCATACGCAAGTCCCTCGCAATAATCTTCCTCTTCATCATCAGTGGCCATGAAGCAGACACTCTGAACTCCACTCCACTCTACTGGTTTTTACAGCTTAAGTAGGAGAGGCAAACCAAATTTGTATATAGACATCATCGGGTAGCGCAGGTTCAGCAGCTTCAAACGAAGATTTCGTCGATCATTGAGGCGGCTGCCCAGCGGCTCGTTAACTGACGCTTCTTTGGCAGTCGAGGTAGCCATGACGGGGGATACTCTGTCCTCACCCACTTCGGTCGAAGAGGTCAATGGAAAATCTCATTCGAAGACTAGCGGGAACGGGCATTTGCTCGTGCTGGGATTCGGCAGCCAAGCTCATGTCGTCAATAGCTTCAAGGTAGGAATGTACCTTGCGGAAAGAGGCGTGACCATCACGTACGTCAGTCGGCAGAAGTACATCAACCAGCTCAAGCAGAGCTACTCGCCCGAGAAGCTCAAGGCATTGGGCATCCGGACGGTAGGTTTGGCCGATGGATATGAAGGAACGCACATCTTCGATCGAGCGACTCGCTTCGAACAAGTCTTTCAACCGTATCTGGAGGAGCTGATCGCAGACAGAAAGGCAGGACTCGCCATCCCCACTGCCATCTTGGCCGACAGGTTTCTTCAATTCGCCAAGGTACGAATCTCAAAATCGACTTTCCAGTCCGTGTGCGCAGCACTTCAGCTGGAATCGTTCCCATTGTGCCTTTTCTCTTCGAATGCGCACCTTCTCTTTCGTTGGCCTAAATCCGAGTCCGTAATTTGTCCAGGATGTCGCCCAGAAGCTGGAAATCAAAAGGTACGTCTTCTTCAGCGCTTCTGTCTCAGAGCCGATGATGTACATGGCCGTGCAAGAGCTCCACAGAAAAGGGACGGTAAGAAAACTCGAGAATGGGGAATTTGTAGGCCTCGAGAATGTTCCGAATGTTCCAGGGTGCGATTGGATGCGACAGCAGGACTTGCCCTGGGTTTTATGGGCTGACACTAAGGCAATGTTGGACATAAGCCACACCATGACGGACGCTGATGGCCTTGTCCTCAACTACTTCGACGACTTGGGCCCCAGATGCCTCGAAACTCTCGGAAATTCACTCTCTGCCCAAAGTGGCACGACAGGAAAGGTGCGACACTCTCCTGCCTGCGTCATCGCAGCCTCCTATTCGCGTCTACATGTAATAAATTCCATTCCACGCGCCGGGTCTTATCGCTGTCGCAGACATCCGCACTGAAATTTCCTTACAGGAGTCCGTCGTAATTCGCCTCTATGCCCTAATCGCAATTCTTCATGTATATTGTATAATGGAATAATGACCGAAGATCAGTCGTTGTTGTTCCCCGCATCATCGCTTGATCTCGGGTCTTATGGCTGTGAATTCCATTAACGCTGCCAGAATTTCCAGCATTGATTTTTTTTTTGGAGTTGTCGGGTTTGGGTAGGAATGGAATTTAGTTGGAATTTTTCACTCTGTCTACGATTTCAGCAAGACAAACGCTCTTAGTGGCATAGGACGAAGGAAGAAGCTGGAGATTTATCGACAGCTCGATCCGATAGGAGGATTTTACGTGGCAGTTTGTGAGGTGTCGTTCGGGTCGCTGATCGTGATGGGAGTGATTTGGCGCAGGCACCGAAGCTGTTCACGATCGGGCCGTTGTCGAACGCGGCCACGTCTGTGAACGTGGCATGCAACGGCGGCGAACTGAAGAAGACGGAAATGCAATGCTTCGACTGGCTCGACCAGCAGCCGACGAGCTCCGTCCTGTACGTCTGCTTCGGCTCGATATTCCGGCCCGACGCGCCGCAGCTCTACGAGCTGGCTCTGGGCCTGGAAGCCAGCAACCAACGGTTTCTTCTGGTCCTGCCCGCCACCGAGCGGCAAGGACTTCGGAAGGATGGAGCTGTCACTTTGGAGGACGAGCTGCCCGAAAACTTCGCCTCGCGCGTCAGCGACCGGGGACTGATTGTTTATGGCTGGGTGCCGCAAATCCAGATGCTGGCGCATACGTCCGTCGGAGGTTTCATGTCCCACTGCGGCTGGAGCTCTTGCCTCGAGAGCTTCGGCAGCGGCGTTCCTATGATTGCCTGGCCCATGGCCGCCGACCAGAATCCCAATTGCAGGTACGCAGTACTTTCGAATATTCGCATCTTTTGTTGATTTTGCATGTCACTGTCTAAACTCTCGAATGCGAGAAAAGAGAAGAGAGAGAGAGAGATAGATAGCATGGTTGACCCTTTGGACGACGCAGTTGACACGTTTGGATGCTGCGCAGGTACGTGGTGAACGAGCTGAAGGTGGGCATCGAGCTGACGGGCAAGAAAGGGGACATGGTCTTTGCTTCGTTTTCAATGCGAGTGACCGGGAAGAAGTACGACACGTTCGTGGAGAAAGACGAGATCGCGCGGGCGGTCGAAGTGTTGATGGAGGAAGAAGAAGGGAAGGCCACGAGGGCGAGAGCTCAGGCCTTGAGGGTGAAGCTCGGGGCAGCGTTAGCCGTTGGCGGGTCGTCGTACCGGCATCTGCAGGAGCTCGCCGATCACATCAACGAGTGAGAAGCTCCTGGGCGGCAGGCGGCGAGCGGTGTGGTTAGCTCACGTGGCAATTTTGCGTTCGTCGAAATCAGGCCTCGCAGTACGGCACGCGGAAAGTAGGGACTGTAATACACGTCACCACATATTTGCACACCAATTTGTTTTGTAAATTGAATGTAATAAATTTTTTCTAGAAAATACCGATGCCGCAAGAAAGAACAGGAAAAAAGGGTCAATTCTTTTAATAACACTTTACAGTACACATATATATGTGACGGTTGCCACAAAAATCGCCGAAGCAAATTCTAGGGACTCGTTACAGAAATCACGATAAGTGACAATTTGGATGTGTCAAAAGCAAAAAGCACTCACGGTGGGACTCGAACCCACAATCCCCTGATTAGAAGTCAGATGCCTTATCCATTAGGCCACGCGAGCTGATATCTAAGGTAGCGTGAATGTAGTCTAAGTTTAAAGTATGAAGTACGAAGTTTCAATAAGTTAGAAGCATACAGTAACCTGTATGCTCTCTTCCGACTATAATGAAACCTATTTTTTAGCGCTTTTGTTCTGGTTAGGGCAGCTTGCCGCAATAACTTTGTTGAACATTTTCATTTGCAATTGCGAATTTGCATCAAAAAACAATCTTGTTTCAACTCTCTATCATCCCTTCTTCAATTTTATCCTCGATTCATGTATTTTATCTGAATCCCTTCATGAACAAGTATATACGAATGCGTCTGTCAAATGTAAGTTAAATTGAAAGGAAGATACGGAAATAAGCCAATTACATTACTCGCTGTGGAATTATTTGAGCTTTAAAAACATATGCGAATGTCACGCTAATGTGTACAGCTACAACGCTGTTAGTACGCACATGCTCAAGAAGGTAATTCATCTCGGTAGGCAAAATTTTGCGTATTCTTCTGCAACAGCCAACATGGGAAGGTTTCACCTTAAGCGATAACTGTCACAGATGAAGACCGACGATACATTTTGTACATGTAAATGTACAAAATGTAAGATTGGTCCGTAAACCAACCCGCAGAACATGCACAAAATGTGTCGCAAGGCTTCATCTGCAACAGATATCGCTATACTTCGATCGAGCGAGAGAACAACACCACGCTGCTAGCAGGTTCGTAAGCTGAGGTCGATACCGGGTGGGAACTTATGGGCATCCAAGTGTATAACAGTCCCGCAACTACAAGTCGGAATTTATAGTGACACAACTTCGAGACATTCACGAGAAATGAACTGTTTCGGTTGAGGTTCCGAACACGAACTGTTTTCTGGGACAGGGATGGTGTAACAGGATGGTGCCCATAACGTCGACAGCGGTTCAGCAAGCGAAAAAGATCTCGAATCGCAATAAACGAGGAAAGGACGTCGCCAGAGAGTCACGGAAGTCGTTGTGGGGTACTTCCACCGAATCTCAGAAGCTTCTGCACAGAACCGGCCGCTCTGGCGAATGGATGCGCATTAGTCAGTCGGTCCTTTTCGGCTCCTCTAGGCGGCCCTCGTGGCGAACGGATAACGTCCGTTTTCAGTACAGGCTCTAATCGGACGGATAACTTCCGTTCTTAGTACAGTACAGGCTCCAGTCGGACAGACGACGTCCGTTCTCAGCACAGTACAGGCTCTAGTCGGACGGATAACGTCCGTTCTCAGTACAGGCTCCAGTCGGACAGACGACGTCCGTTCTCAGCACAGTACAGGCTCTAGTCGGACGGATAACGTCCGTTCTCAGTACAGTACAGGCTCTATTCAGACAGACGACTTCCGTTCTCAGTACAGTACAGGCTCTAGTCGGACGTATAACTTCCGTTCTCAGTACAGGCTCCAGTCTGGACGGACGACGGCCTGCCAGGCAGGCAGGCATAGACGTTGCTAAGGGGTACAACGGCGGTTACGTTCTACCGGCACTTGCAGTCGCGCTCACGCTCGGGAGGCAACGTACCGTTGGCCGTTGTGTTCCCCTGCCACAAGCCGCTGCTTCTCGAAGCCTCCGATTTCTCCGTACATGTCGTCGTCGGTGGCTGGATGTGTACTTTCTTACGGATTCGTCGATGGAAAGGATTTCCGGAGAAGTCGAGGCCAAATTGAGTGAGCCTGTGGATCTGACATCGACTGTCAGCGTTAACACGAGTACATTGAACGTACGAACGATTGGAGGGAGCAAGAATAGTCAAAATTCAAAGTAGGCAAAACTCTCGGTACTCTTCTGCAGCTGCCAACTGAAAGTTGGTTGAATTGAGGATGTAGTGGATTCCTTCGGCGCTAATTCTGTCACCATCCAGCGTGAAAGCGTCTGTCCCCTCGAGAAGCAACGATGGCGACAATGATGACCAAAGACTGGCTGGTCCAACGCTGCAAAGCGAGGGGACTGTACCAAACTCCTTACCTGAATGACCGCTTGTACCTCCAATGTCAGGCGCTTTGCGACTTACAGAATTTGGAGGAGTACACTGTGCGTTGCCACTTGTCCCCGGCCCCACCTTCGTCTGATTCTTTAGGTTTCCTCCTGCCTTCGAATCGAGACAAAAATCAATTGAAACAAAACAGAAAATCCTTTGCGAATATTGGCAATTGCTGCAGCATCGCTGATTGAACTCCTCTCGTTTCCTCGCACAGGGAGTCAAATTGTTGTATCTCGAGGAGAATTGCTTGGAGAGCATGAATGGATTGCAGCCCCTCAAGCAGTTGCAATGCTTGTAAGCTCGAGAAACTTGCCTCCGTGCATTTGAGTTGGAAACCTTCGTCTTTTACGGCTGATTGATTGTCAGTCTCCAAAAACATGTGATATCGACCGCAACGCCTCTCCCATGGACCTCAGGTCTCGATTCTGAGATTAACACGTCAATGGTACACTTCAGGGATGGCATGCTGTCCGACAATCTCACGAATTTTTCGGAAGCCATTTTTAGAAGCAAATGGAATCTCCGTCCAACCCGCAAAAAGAGTCTATCACTGACAGTAATCATTCGAACCTGGCTGCTCTGCTCTGCATTTACAGGTACTTGAGGAAAAACTTCATAAAGTCCATCGACCACATAGATGAACTCCAGTTTTTAGACACTCTCGATATCAGGTTCGTAAAAAGATGCGAAAATTTTCTCGACTCTGATGAACAGCAGGAGGAAAGAGAATCCAAAAAGTAATTGAAAATAATCCAAGAGACGAAGAAGTTGCAAGACATTGGACCACTGTTCTGCATCCTCGTTCGCGATGTAACATCGATCCGCCCACACTCCTAAAACCGATTCGTTGGCTGCAGTCAAAACTACATATCCTGCTTGGAAAATCTGTCCAAGTGCCTGCGCTTGAGGGTTCTCGTTGTCTCACACAACCAGCTGGAATCGATTGAATCGATTGCACACCTTACGAGTTGCCCATCCATCATGTAAGCTACGTTGCTATCACTACCCGATGTTCGACTTTGTGAAGAGCCTACTTTCTTTCAAGAGACTTTCATCAGAACTTCTCAGTACATTTCCACGAAGATATGACCACGTGAGATTGCTTAACAATTCTGCTGGAGTTCAGCCATGTACTGAATAGAATCAGTGGTCTTCGATTGCTGCACAGGATTCTAGATCTATCTCATAATGAGCTGAAAGATGGGGACGGTGTTCTGGAGATTGCTCTGAGTTTACCTCAGCTTGCAGTTCTATATTTGTCGGGAAACCCATGCATATCACGAATGCCGCACTACCGGAAGGTCAGTGCCTACCAGACATTCGTATTGCTTAGCCTGTAAGAGCTGCACCATCTGTACATCGCAATGGTTGGGCACATCCAATTGACGTCTACCATTTGTGACACAAACAGTCCCGAAGTTGAAACCTCACTCTCAGCACTTCCCTGGTATCCGTGCAGAACATAATTGCGAAACTCGCGAAGCTCAGTCATCTTGATGATCGACCGGTTTTCTGGGACGAACGCTTGTTTGCTGAAGCCTGGTACTTTAGTGAACCAAATCTCCTCTCAATTACGTCGAAACAAACTATTCTTAATGTCGTTCATTACTCTACCTAACAACACAATGTACATGAATAGGCATCAAGTCTGAGACTAGATTCGCAACCTACTTCCAAGATTCTGAAAACTCCAGACTGCGCTGCATCTCTCAGACAAAAGGTCATGTTTAACTGAACGTGAAATTTAGATTTTCTGTTCCAGGTTGAGAGGTGGCCAAGAAGCGGAGACTGCAGAGAGGGATCGAGTTCGTGAAATACGAGTTGACGAGGAAAATAAGCAATATGAGGGTAGAATCTCTAGCTCTTTAATCCTGGTCTTGAGTAAAGAGCAGGCTACATCAACGCTTTGTTCACCAACTAAGAGAAATATCTAGAAGAATGTGTAAGGTGATGGAGCTGTGTAAGTATCCCCCGCTTCAAGCGAAACCAAGTAGACCTCAAGAACTAAATTGTGGGTGGCTTGCTTTATTCAGCAATGCGACGAATTCGAGAACAAAACATGGCGGAAAGAGTTCACGTTGCGCCACCCACACTGCTTCAATTCAGTCCGTCCGAGCTCGGGGAAGAGGAACCAGAGACATGCGCATTAAGTGGAGATTTACCAGCAAATGAGGTCGGGATGTCATCAGATAAGGTAGAAACCAAAAAGGAGGGACTCGGATGTTCTAGCGAAATGGTCGACGATGAATTCTCCGTAGAAATGGAGGTGGACCAGCCGGTCCCAGCCAGTTCTCAATTCCAACAACATACCTCACCGGATGACATGAAGCCACTTCCGTGTACATGCAGAGTCGCTGAGGTCGAACCTAACGGCTCAGAGCAAGAGAATAGACAGAAGCTTGCCAGCAATCCGTTGTTCAACGATGATGCTCGTCACTCATTCAGTGAAGAGCAGAAAGCATGGCCTACGGCAAATCCGTCCATGTTTTCAACAGAGCTGCAATCAATATGCTTACCTGAATGGGTCGGATCTGAAATTAAAACCGACTCATTTTCTACCGTGCATGATAACAAGCTTTTCTCAGAAGAGGCACTAGAGGACAGATGCTCTGATGCACAACCTGACGGTAGCACAACTCGACCCTGTTGGGCAACCACGGAAAGAGGACCGGACATGGAGGAACCAGTGCCACCGACTTTGCAGGGCCGCGGCCGCGACTCTTTGGCATCACTGGCGGCTTCGGAATTGGGAACATATACATGTCAAGAACCATCCAGCTCCATGAAGGAAGAAGACAGCCTAATCCTCTCTTTACAGGCAATGAATAATGTGAGAGTAGACGCTAGGTAAACGAAGAGGACCATGATGTCCTAGAGTGTTGAGATGGAGGTAACATATACTTCCCTAGAGCATATGAATTGCAAAAAGAGAGAGTTCGAAAAGAACAAATATCTAACCCTTGCACCATATGATGTTGTTTCAATGGCTGGATCCTTGAAAGACTCATATGGCCGAGCTTGAGGTGCCATTGGTAAGTGTTCAGCTCTTCAGTGATGGAAGCTCATGGTCATATCATTGCTCAGTGTATACTAACTGGGCAAGCTGGTCACAACCTCTTCATCAAATACACGGTGTAGTAGCAGTAGTAGCACGATACACTTCAATTTTAGTTGTTGGGCTTCCATCACTGAAGAGCTGAACACCTATCAATGGTGTCTAAAGCTCGGTCATATGAATCAGCAATTGAAACAAAATCACATGGTGCAAGGGTTAGATAATTGTTCTTTTCTAACTCTCCCTTTTTGCACTTCATGTGCTCTAGGGAAATCTGCCAGAGCTAAATTTCTAAGCCAAGGAGCCACTCTTGCTATAGACCTTCTTGGTCTAGTGCACACAGATATAGGTGGCCCTCTGAGAACTCAAACATTCTCTGATGTAAATACTTCGTATCATTTATTGATGATCTTTCACGATATACGCATGTGTATTTGATACGAAAGAAGTCTGAAGCCAAGTTTCAGGAATTTAAATTGATGACTGAAAATCACCTGAACAAGCTTATCAAAGTTTTGCGATCAGAGAATGCTCTTGAATACAAATCTCGAGCTTTCACTGAATTTTGTATGCTTCATGGTATTCAACGTCGGTTTTCTATTCCTGATACTGCCGAACAAAACGGAGTTGCTGAAGGGAAGAATCGCACGTTGATTAATTGTGTTGTAGCTATGTTGACACATTCTGGTCTTTCTCATGGTTTTTGGGGCGAAGCCATCCATACCGCTGTTTACTTGCAGAACGAATCTCCATCTAAGGCTATACGGTATAGCATTAGATGGAGATTGGCATCTGTCCATGCCATGTTTGTCATTGGGTATAGCCTATACCCAATGACAAACATGGCATGGACAGAAGCCTGATCTAAGCCACTTACAAGTTTTTGGATGTACTACCTTTGCCCATATTGAAAAAGACCATCGGGGTAAGATTGACCCCAAGAGTGTAGAATGTGTTTTCCTTGGTTATTCTCCTCCAGCCAAAGGATATCGGTTACAGCGAAAAGACTCTCATGAGATTCTTGAGAGCACATCTGACAAATTTATGCCTCTTGCGGTTCGGGAATCTACCCTTCCCCATCAGCAGGCATCAGTTGTTCCACCCGCTGAGCAAGAAGGTTTTACTCTCTTTCGTCCTTTACCATTAGCTTCATCTACTGATCCAGTTCGCAGGCTTCCCCTTCCGCCAATATTACCACCAGGACGGCCACCACCAGTGGGAGCCTTCACTCCGGTTACACCATCCCCTGTAGTGGGAGTTCCACCAGCACCTTCCACTCCCTTCGGGGCTCATCCTCCCACAGCTGAAGTCCCTGCCACTTATCCGGCCCGTTTTGACTGACTTACAAGAGGCGCACATGGAAGCTACGGGAGAATCCTCTTTTTTCTACTCCTCTGTTGATACGGTTCGCAACCTCGAGCAACTACTGGGTGAACTCAGACTACAAGACTCTACATCTGAGGCCCCGGCTGTCCAACCTCCTGACCATACAGCTTCGGGAGCAGCTTCACCCTCTTCCCTCATCATCGATCCTATCTTTCGAAGGGGGAATAGAGGAAGGAAACGTGTCAAAGAATATGATCGGTTGGAAAAGAGTAAGAATTTGCTCTATTTCCATATGGTGAGACTCGCAAAGAACCTACTACTTATCAAGACGCGTTACAGAGTGATTATTCTATCAAATGGAAAGAAGCTATGAAAGATAAATTTTCTTCTTTAGAGAACAATCATACTTGGACATGGACAGAGTTACCTTTGGGCAAGAACGTCGTTGGCTATAAATGGATTTATAAAATCAAATACAAACCTGACGTTTCTGTTGATCGATACAAGGCCAGATTAGTAGCTAAAGGATATTCTCAAGTTTGTGGTGTTGATTTTTCATAAACATTTTCTCCTGTGTTTAAGTTGACATCCATTAGGATGTTAATGGCTCAAGCAGCTCAAAATAATTTTGATCTACACCAAATGGACGTGAAAACTGAATTTTTGAAGGGACTATTAGATGAAGAAGTGTACATGGCTCTTGCTGAAGGGTTGAATATCTCTTCTGAGAAAAACATGGTATGCAAACTCAATAAGTCCATTTATGGACTGAAGCAACCCTCATGACAGTGGTATCAAAGAATTGACTCGTTCTTACACCAGATTATGCAGATGCAGCTTTACATATACTCTCAGGAGAATGCATTTCTGTATTTAGCACTATATGTGGAAGACTGTATATTGGCGAGTGATTCCTTGCATCTTCTTACAAATGTCGAGGAGAAACTTAAACTGAGTTCGGTATGGTGGACTTAGAAGAGATCCATCATTGTTTGACAAGTGTGGACTCCAATCTCCCAATCACGATATTTGGTTGAAAAACTTGCGAGGCTCAACATGGGTAACTGTAAGCCTATTGATACACCTATGGAACCCGGTTTGAAGTTAAGTGTGCTTGACTCTCCCAATTCAGTGGGAGAAAGTGAATAGATAAAAGATATATCATATCAAGCTGCTGTTGGGAGCTTGATATGGGGGATGGTCTGTACTAGATCCAATATATCTTATGCTGTTAGTTCAGTGGCTCAGTTCATGTCAAAGCCTGGATTGATACACAGGAAGGCAGTCAAGAGGATTTTCAGATATATGAAAGTAACTCTCGATTTTGGCCTTGAGTTTACAAGGGTTGATAAACCATCCAGTTTGATGTCAAGTCAACCTCCCCAGTCCGCATCAAAATATCCAGCCAGGTTGCCTTAACAAGACACGATCTACTTCTAGATATTGCTTCCAACTCCACGGTGGAACGATTAGTTGGACATCAAAGAAACAAAAGTCAGTAGCACTTTCTTCTACAAAGGCAAGAGTATATAGCATTGTCCAAGACTGGAGCTGAAGTTATGGGGTTAAAATGATTATAGAATGATCTGGGATGTGAGCGGAAATGTACAAAATAAAAATCATCAAAGATCAAAAGACATTGATATTAGATATCATTTTAGATTATGAATGTACACAATATTCTGTGATAATCAAAATACTATTGCACAAAAATCATGAAAGACCAAAATACATTGATATTAGATATCATTTCAGGACGACAGGTATTCTAACCTTGTAGCGGGCTTTTCGTTTCATCCGAAAAGCCTAAGAGTCTGAAGTATTCTAGCCTCGTAGTGGGCTTTTCATTTCATCCAAAAAGCCTAAGAGTCCGACATGCACGCATGCATGTTAGACTTCTAGGTGATAACCATAAAAGCGCTAATAACTTAGTTAAATTAGTTCTTCATGTAACCCAAAATATGGTTGCAAATATTATGAATGAAGTTGGTTTTTCATGTAACCCAAGAAATGATTGCAAATATTATGAGTGAAATTGGTTTTTCATCAAACCCAAGATATGGTTACAAATATTATGACGATCCATAAACTAGAGAAAGTCATTGGTGTAATAGTCAGAATTTGGGTTTATGAGTTGGAAATGAGAAAGAGAGAAGTAGTTAGCAAGTGGGAGTGTCGGGAACACACTTTTACTCCCTACTCTGTGCGGAATAGTGCAATTAGAGTCAGACTCAGACCCACTGTGAGGGTTGTGTCCCTTTGTAAGGACAAATTCCTTGTCAACCCCTGATCGGGACCTGTGTTAAAAAAGAACCTTCCTCAGAACTCAATTCCTCTATATAGCCTTCTTGCATTGCTCTTCTTTCTAATAGGAACATATACATGTCAAGAACCATCCAGCTCCGTGAAGAAAGTAGACAGCCTAATCCTCTATTTACAGTCAATGAAAAATGTGAGAGTAGACTCTAGGTAAACGAAGAGGACCATGATCTCCTAGAGTGTTGAGATGGAGGTAACATATATTGCAGTGCGGTACAATGATCTCTTGGTTTATACAGGAGCTAGCGCTGAATGATCATCAAGTTTTACAGCTGAGCCTAAGACGGCCCTCACTTAGCCATTCCCAGAGAAAACAATTGGGAGACGAGGAATCCAGTACAGGTCAAGGTGGCCCATCCTTCGAATCCACTCACGAATGGTTTGAAGAAACACAAGCAGTGTAACCTTCAAACTAGAAATTTATAGGAAGCTCGATCGAGTAACGAGTTCCGAAAATCCGTGCACGAAGGGCGTGACAAAATATCCTGTTATAATTGTTTACTCATTCCCCAAATGGAATCCACAATATCCCGCACGAAGATGGTCGGCATCTATTTACTTACAGGAAACTCCAGTCTGCACACATTTCCTTGTCCTCTTTCCTCGGGAACATTGGCAGTAAATCGTGAAGCCCGGTGTGCGATCAATAATTTCCAATACACATATGGCCCAGCTCTACAATGGCAGTCCTTCTACGATCTAGCGAATGCCAACAAGCATGCTAATTAGAGCTTATTTCCTTGAATGCATCATACATGTTCCTAACCTCCCACGCTGATCAAAAATGAGTCACTGGGCTGAAGTAGAAGAGCTCAAGGACAGAATCCGCGCTCAGTGCGACTATTGGCTGTTGGTGAATGAAGGGTTGAGTCCCAATAGCATATTGTTCCCTGAAGGCAAGTAGACGACGTTACGACTCTTGGACAAGGTTGCGGCAATCTCCCTTGATGCTTCAATACGTCGGAGTTCAATGATGCCAGAGCCAGCAGATAATGTTGCGTCGGAAATCTGTAGGGATTGGTTAAGGAGAGACTACACAGAAACACACAAGGCATGTGAAAGCACAAAAGCTCGTAGATTCCACCTTCTCACAGGGCATCAAAACCAATGAAATGGATGGAAATGAGGAATGAGGATACAAGCTTTGCAGCTTCACTTTCTCCTTCAGCTCTGATGATGGCGGCTCTCCTCTCCTGTTCGGCTTTCGCCACAACGAACTTTGAACGCTCTGCCTCTTGTTGAGCTGCAATTACAGGGACAGCCAACCAACAAATGTAATCAACCAAAACAATTATCGTTCTCGATCCTCACTCTCACGGTAAGGACTGACTAGAACAACGAGAAACAGAGCGCGGCAAGCTATCACATAGAAAAAAAATCCATTGTTTCACTGGATACTCACAGTATATAGTTGAGGACTATAAATTACAAAGCAATGTTGGTACAAGTTAGGACCGACAAGTACGTACCAACTTGCTTTTGTTCAACGGCCCGTGAGAACTCGGTTCCGTATGAGAGATGGGTCTGTAAAAGTAACCGATCATTTTAGAACAACGACATGGATAACATGAAGATTGGAAAAAAGAGTGCATCCGTCTACATCCTGCCAGCTGACCACTTTAGAGAAGATTCTAAAAATACTCCAAACTGCCCCAAGCACCACAATATAAACTCGTGACATGTAAGGGCTTCGTATTTGAGTGGAGAGAAAAGAAATCCTGATAAAATTTCCAAATAATTTTGTTGGAGCATAAGGCCGACTTACAATGGCTACGTCATCCAACAGCAGGTTGAAGTCTTTTGCCCTCTTCACAAGAGCTTCCCGGACCAAAGCAGAAACCTGTCGTTTCAAGCGGGTATGAACATATGGTTGGCATCAGTCAATCCTTCTTATCATTAGAATCATAGTAACAGTCTACTATGCGAGATGGGAAGATGTCCTCACTTCTAATCCTCATAGCCGCTCACTCTCCTTACGATGTACATGGCTGAACCCAGGTTGGCAATATAATTAAATGTTCTACAACAAGTCAAACAAGAACCACAGCAATGACAACTTACGTATGGTCTCTCTGTGAGAAGCTGATCGGCATTGAATTGCGCCTGCATCATGAAACACGCTTAAATATTGGAAATATGAAAGTAAAGGGAAGCAGTAATAATTGAATTTGGCCCAAACGGAAGTGAAAAGTAACGAAGCAGCTAATCAACAAATCTGAAGGCATATCCAGCATGTGGAACCTTCGCGATCAACAAAGAACACGATGTAGCAGAAGACGGTGCAAATGCCCGTGAAGCATCATTGTTTGAAACTAAGAGAAAACCCAAAACCCCGAAAGATGTCCTTTGTTAGTGGAGACACTCGTAATTCGTTTTGAATTACAATTCGATTTATTGAAACGAAGTCCAGAGAAAACAGAAGCCACGATTGTAATGTCACAGACACAGACAAGCCTCCACATACCACAACGGCCTTCAAAACTTCGTTCCCGATCGAAGGAAGAACTCTCTCGTCGTAATCAACCCCCAAAGTCTTGAAAATGTAAGGAAGCTTCTCCACATCCGGTTTGGACAACACTCGGAGACTCAAATTCACCATCTGCAAATCTGATCATACAATAAAAAAAAAACGTGACGGAGAAGTTACTTACGATCGGGGGTGCGGAGTTAACTAAATATGGTTGACAAAAAATCACGGAAAACTTTGCTCATATCCAACGTGCATCCGCCACATAGAAACTTCCGAGCTACCAACAGGCAATCACGGCTGTTTCGGTCCTTTGATTCTTGATGCTCCTCGCAATTCAAAACCCGGACTGAAGGAACTCCCGATCGGCAGATAATTGGCATTTCCAACCAACCAACTTTGAGAAGGATCGGCTTTGGATACCTTATCCCTGATATCTTAAAACCTAGGAGAAACTTACCACCTATCTTACACGATCGAGCCCAATTCGACGAGATTTTGATTCCTCACCTTTGGTACCGGTGACTGAAGTAATCACACGGGGTCGAGTTCTAATATCGAAAATGAAGGGCCTCTGCAGCCATGGGATCAAAAAATGCGTTCCTTCTCCAGCTGTTTCTTCCAGCACTCCCCTGAATCTGTCGAAGAGCACAGCTTGCTCGCCTCCATCGACTGCAGCCAGCCGAAAACGTCAGAATCGTTACAATTATCAAAAATCGAGAAACGTGACGAGTACTTCCGATCGGACTTTCGATAGAGTTACCTGTATACAAAGATGCATTGAGGAGACTTCCTCCCAAACCAAGAGCGACAGACAACCGGGCAATATTGTTCAGCACTTTTGGTGCACTCATTATCGCTGAGATATTAGAAAATTATATTCAGCAGAAAACCAGCAAATCGATCGATCGATTAAACGAGCTCGATCGCGTTCTTCTGCCCAAACTCTCTTCTTTCGACAAACGAAAGAATCGATCCCACGAGGCCCTAGGGCTTTTCCAGCTTTCCAGAGTTCTTTCGTCAATTAGGGTTTCTCATCAGCCCTATCGCGAGTTCCGTCACTGTATCGAGGAGGAAAAGTGGTCCTCTGCTTGATGTCGCTCCACTGTAGCGCAACCCGTCGGCTATACAAGGACCCAATGCCCGGATTTTCTCTCTATGTCCATGTCCTGTGAGTGGCGAGGTGCCCTTTGTCTCCGGACTGAACCGGTGAATTCCGGTAATTCTCCGATCTAAATCTCGTGTCACGATTCCTGGGTTTTGACAACTTCACCAGAATCTTCGTTCCCTTCAGACTCTGGATTTTGGGGTAGGTTTGGGCATACTAGAAGTAAGCCTTAAGTTTAGGCTTTCAAATGATTCTTTTAAATATTTATTTCAGCGTCAAGTTAAGGCCATTTGGGTATTTACTACAGAGTTAGTACAATGTATACTCAAGCTTATGAACTTATAAATCAACATCTCTTGACATTGTAGAACTGAATATTACAAACCTTGAACAATATGCGTAATGAAGATGATTGTTGTGGATACATGTTATCGGAAAGTTGATAGATCAGTGTTCATCGTTATCAATGATATGTAGCATCATCATATATTGAAGACATCAAGCTTAATATGTGATAAAGTTGTTCACGACATGATGACTAAAACGAAGTACCATACATATGTAATGTTATATTGATCTTCATGCATAACATTACTTCATAGCACTAGGGTAGAGAATATATATCCTTCAATGGTAACATTATATCTCTGAAAATGAACCATGGCATAGATAATTTTCTGATTTTTGATACAACTAACCAACAAAACAAGAAGAGCATGTATCATCATCCATATCACTCTTCATGAATTGATGAAGTGGTGTTGAGTTATCAAAATTATCAATTTAGTATGTAGTATTTACAAGTTTGCATAGAATTTCTCAATTTTTTATCAAAACCATTCACGGACTGCTCATTAACTACAAGTATAGATACAATGTCAAAATTCATGTGTCATTCCAGTAAATTGAGTATATATCAAACTATTTTAAGCAAAAAGACATAACAATGTCTCATGAATGTTATTTTGCTCTAATAACGTACATTCATTTGATTGTAAAACTAAACTTATACTGTCAAAGGGAGCTACTAAAACGCTCGCAAATTTTTTTGAATGAAAGTTTGAAACTTCAAGACGCATCAACAAGTCATCCACAAATGCTAATTCTTGGAAATCAATAGATCTCACAACAAAATCTACATATAAAGTGACAAGCTCACAATTTTGGGAGAGCAACAAGCTACTCCAACAATCAAAACTACAAGAAGCAACAAGTATGTGCATAAAAAGTTTTATTAGTTGGTTCGCCGTTTTGAATTGCACTTTGTCACGACAATGTTCATAGGTTCTCATGGTCACGTTTCATCTTTGAAAGTAATTTGATTTGAGCTAATCAGTTGCTCCCTCCATACTAAAGACGTCAGTTATGGCTACAAGTCGGTCGTGGATGATTCATTGGATAAATGAAGTATGTTAGATCTCAACAAGTGCTTTGCATACCAAAGTAATCACATCAAGTAGCTCTTTCAATCTTATTGTTATATTTTTCTAATCATTATCATCAAATAAAATGTTGTGTAATAAATGCTCACAATATATGCTTATTATATCTACACACAATATATCATATTTATTAAACATAATATTGCAACATTTTCATTTTGAAAAATACACAAATTTGATTTCATTTTTTTACAATGTAATTTAATTTGTTTCAGCATATTTTTTGCTAAACCAATAGCAAATAAATTCTCCAAAACTTATTTAGCTTTAAATGTTTAAATTGACACGTTTATTAAAACGAAAAAAATTTCAAAATTTGATCACATTGAAAAACACACTTTTCTATACAAATTTATACATGTATCATTTAATATAATGTTGTTAAACAAATTATCTACAAATTTTTTATTTCATGCATTTATAACATATTATATACACTCTATAAATTTAACAAGCAAATTTTTTCAACATTTTTGACCCAATTTTTGACAAATAATGATCCAATACAAAAAATTGACAAATACCAAATTGACAAATTGACCCAATACCAAATTTTTGTTTTTTTTGATCCAAATATATAATGAACTTCATTGCGCCATGTGACATCGGAGCTGACTTTCAATTAATTTTACTTGAAATGTATTCTTGGTAGCTCATAATAGTTTTAAGAGAAAAGTATTAATCTACATGTTCACGTACCAAATATTCTCTCACACAATCTTTCCCACCATTAGTCAAATCTAATCTCCATTATCACTCAAAGATAATTTGCAAACTAAAATTTATATTCAGTTAACAAGTTTTATTCAATGAACTCTTCATAGTTGCTTGTGTATATCTTTTTTTTTAATCTATTTGAACTATTTAAAAATTATCATAGTTACATAAGTTATTTAATATCGAATTTATTATTTTGTGTTAACATGTCATTGATCTAACTAAATCTTCTATAAGCTTTCTTGTTCTTAGATTGAGATGTCAAAGTGTCATTAGAAACCTTGCAACTTCTAAAATTTACACTTATACTAAATCAAATGTTAAACCTACACTAAAACCAACGTATGATTTGACTATTTCCAATAGAATTTAGATTGTGATAACAAATTTAGTATTATGATTCACTCAAAAAATCTGGATGTGCCCTAATTATTTTTTCAAGTATGGATTTCATAGCTAGATGACTGTGTTAAATGTGATCAATAAAATGTGTTCTAGATTATTTATCACATGATATGTGTTGATCCAAACATGGAAAAAAATTCTGACAAATACTACTATTGCTCTATTTGAATGTTGAAACAACTTTAGTTTGAAATTAATGCAAGTCTTAAAATCTTCAAAAGTGTTTTAAAAGTTTACGATTTCATTTTTCATTTGTGCAATGATTATCTTAATGTTGCACTTGATCAACGTAGTCATGTATAAAAAAATATTGTTGGTATGCTACACAAAATACAAAAAGTTTTCTACTTTAAAATGAAATATCATGATAAGAGAGTTGAGATTGTGAATGAATACTCAAACTGAAATAAACATACATCTTAGTGACTAATCAAGCGGAAGAAATTGGAAGTTGTCTTGAATATAGTTTTTTTTAAAAAGTAAGTCCAATGTGGTATCTTTGATCCAAGTAGAGTTTGTTGTGGAGTTTCCATTTGTAGAAGGTACCTCCTTAGGTTGTAACAAGCACATTTTTGTTAAGTTAAAAAAATGTTATATATTCACAATGTTTAAATTCATAAAATTAAGTTCAATATGATAGCTTTAACATTTATTGGTTTATTTGGACTTGATTAATATGAATCAGATATGTGTCTAGTGATAATCAATCAAAAATGTGTCTTTACAATTATCATAAAGAAAGCTCAATACATACCTTTATTGTTCAAGAAAAGCATAACAATTTTAGTCATTGATGTTAGACCAAAATGATTTGTTCAGAGACAAATTTTGGATTTTGAGCAATGTTCATGGAGCAAATTTGATTAGATTTTTTGGATGTAAAAGAATGTATTTCTTAAAGAATAAAAAATGATAATGTGAAGGAGCAAGTCGACAATTGTATTTAATGTAACCATCTTTAATTAGTTAGATCTAAAACATAGGTTAATCAAGATGAAGTTATAATAATCTCATAGTGAAATATCTATAGTTGTCACGATTCGTGTGTTTGCTAGATAGGGAATAAGTGTGTTAGTTGACAACGACATGTCAGAATCCATGTGCTTGTTACAATTATTTTCCATATCATCAATCCACTAGCAATAAATTGGATGGTGAAATAAAGCTCTTATTTTTTTATACTTGTCGGTAAGATCTGTATAAATGAGAGAAAAATTATTCTATGTATCTTTCATCTTAAAAGTTATGTTTACTCTTGAAATGAGTTAATCTTTTGATACCTAGTGGTACATGCAATTAGTATTGACAAATCTAATTCATATGGTAAGGATAATGAGATTGATTTCAAGACTCTTTCCAAGTAATGGTAATGGTAATAGATCAAGCCTGGGGACCCAAAGGGTCAAAAGGCTGAAAAACACAATAAAAGCGACAGCCACAAACAAGGAAAAAGACCCCAAAGGCCAATCCCTAGCTAGTGCCAAGAGCACTAGAACGATAACTAATAATGTCCCTAATATAACAACCTAAATCAAAAGGAACTAACTGTAACAAAAAATAAAAATTCTCTACATCTATATTATGAGTCATTCTAATCTGCGTATATCTAGTACAAGTAAGAAATACATGATCTTCATCCTCAACTTCTCTTCCATCGCATAGCCTTCAAATACGTTCACTCCTATCAATATTAAGCCAACGTCCTTCCTCAATACCAAGCCTATGAGATCCAGTTCTATGCCTAGCAATAATATGACGTAAGGACGTAGAGATTCCTGCAAGTAGGTAATCCTCTTCACAATGAACAAGCATAGGATTCACATGAAGTTGATAAAACTGCATCTTGGTGCCACGCTTGCTCCAAATAATGTTCAGAAACTCCTCCTTTAGACGTTCACGTAGTGCTATAGGTTGTAGGTCCCAATCGCGTTCCGTCACATTCCACCTCAAAGACCAAGTTATTACATCCGCTAACCATCATTTGGCACGTGTGTCACTCAAAGCCTGAGGAGGAAGGCAAGAAGCATCAAGAGATCTCAATCTTGTGATGTAAGTGATGGTCAAGTATAGAGCTTCAACCTCTAGAGGTAAACAACATGTTTCCGCAAGAAGAATATCATATGAGTTTTGGTTTCTCACACCCAATTCTTCTTGTAGAAATATCCTCTGCACCCTCTCCACACGCTCCCAACCCGTCTTCTTACAACCAGGACCCCACACTTGGATTTCATACAATACTACCAGCAACACTAAGCTTCTGAATAAAAATTTCCTAAGACTCCAAGACACAAGATGAGCCCTTCTACACCGATTTAGCAATGAATATAGAGCTTTGTA